AAGTTCATAAGGTTCTCCGGATCTTGACTTCCTAAGTTCGTCACTTTGGTTGGAATGTAGTTCTTGATCGGATACATCAGAGCCTCGATCCATTCGTCTGTCATCTGTGTTTCATGTTGAGCCTTGTATACGAAATATTGGATCTCCCCCTTCGGAACTTGTAAGGTTATAGTGGGCCCATCCGTACCTGGGAACTGTAAGACCTAATCTATGAGCGACACACTTTGCAACTTCCTTGTCTCGTCCGGTAAGAATGTCTTTAAATGTGAAACGATTAGGGCCGGAAGTAATGTACTGATAAAGGCACTCAATGCATGCAATTGCAGTGCATTTATGTTTTTGGGAGCGTATAGTTTTTCCAAGCCGGCTATTATGTCCCCAGTTTTTTGTGTTTGATATGTAAATGAGGTGGTAATGCATCCGTTTTGTGCCTGTATGGTCACAAACGACTTTCCAAGGAGATGAGCGATGTTTGGGGCTGTAACATATTCCTGGGTCCATCGTGCAATTTGCCGCCTTCTGACTCGTTTGCATTTGTTCTCCTGTTGTCGCGTTTTCTTGATCCTGTAATGGTTGTGTTTGTGCTACTGGTACATGCTGTTGCTGCTGCTTCGAAGACTTCAATTTCTTCTGTGCTGGTGTTGTCGTCGTCGTTGTTGCCGTTGACGCGACTCGCTTCATGCTGAGTGATCGTTTCACAATCTGTTTGTTTTTCAGAGGTTTCGTTGTCATTAGTTGAGCTTGTGGTGATTTCAATAACGACTGATTGTCTTGGGTCTGGAGTGTCCCTTTCTCCATCTCCATACGGTCCTCCTCCTGTCTCTCCTCCTCCTCGTCTTCCGTCTCTTGAAGATCTGTTGCCAACAATGAAGTAGTCTGTAAGTCGGCCATTGCTTCGTCTTCGTCCGATGACTCCATTATCAGCACACCTTCCATCGATGAATTCCGACTCATAATTATTTGGTCCGCTGTTCCACTCTGAATTCATATACGGTCGGATATCGACACTTGTAATAATGTGCAGTGCAATCGGCATGCTTATGATTCGTTATCATTTTCAGCTCATCCTTTTATACGCCAGACACACTCACACACCCATGCACACGTCGTGTCGACTCTTCACCGTCCCCAATGTAGGTAGGTAGGTGTGTAGGTCACGTGACTCACGTCGTGTCAACTCTCCACCGTCCCCAATGTAGGTAGGTAGGTAGGTGTGTAGGTCACGTGACTCACGTCGTGTCAACTCTCCACCGTCCCCAATGTAGGTAGGTAGGTAGGTGTGTAGGTCACGTGACTCACGTCGTGTCAACTCTCCACCGTCCCCAATGTAGGTAGGTAGGTAGGTGTGTAGGTCACGTGACTCACGTCGTGTCAACTCTCCACCGTCTCCAATGTAGGTAGGTAGGTAGGTAGGCGTGTAGGTCACGTGACTCACGTCGTGTCAACTCTCCACCGTCCCCAATGTAGGTAGGTAGGTAGGTAGGCGTGTAGGTCACGTGACTCACGTCGTGTCAACTCTCCACCGTCCCCAATGTAGGTAGGTAGGTAGGTAGGCGTGTAGGTCACGTGACTCACGTCGTGTCAACTCTCCACCGTCCCCAATGTAGGTAGGTAGGTAGGTAGGCGTGTAGGTCACGTGACTCACGTCGTGTCAACTCTCCACCGTCCCCAATGTAGGTAGGTAGGTAGGTAGGCGTGTAGGTCACGTGACTCACGTCGTGTCAACTCTCCACCGTCCCCAATGTAGGTAGGTAGGTAGGTAGGCGTGTAGGTCACGTGACTCACGTCGTGTCAACTCTCCACCGTCCCCAATGTAGGTAGGTAGGTAGGTAGGCGTGTAGGTCACGTGACTCACGTCGTGTCAACTCTCCACCGTCCCCAATGTAGGTAGGTAGGTAGGTAGGCGTGTAGGTCACGTGACTCACGTCGTGTCAACTCTCCACCGTCCCCAATGTAGGTAGGTAGGTAGGTGTGTAGGTCACGTGACTCACGTCGTGTCAACTCTCCACCGTCCCCAATGTAGGTAGGTAGGTAGGTGTGTAGGTCACGTGACTCACGTCGTGTCAACTCTCCACCGTCTCCAATGTAGGTAGGTAGGTAGGTAGGCGTGTAGGTCACGTGACTCACGTCGTGTCAACTCTCCACCGTCCCCAATGTAGGTAGGTAGGTAGGTAGGCGTGTAGGTCACGTGACTCACGTCGTGTCAACTCTCCACCGTCCCCAATGTAGGTAGGTAGGTAGGTAGGCGTGTAGGTCACGTGACTCACGTCGTGTCAACTCTCCACCGTCCCCAATGTAGGTAGGTAGGTAGGTAGGCGTGTAGGTCACGTGACTCACGTCGTGTCAACTCTCCACCGTCCCCAATGTAGGTAGGTAGGTAGGTAGGCGTGTAGGTCACGTGACTCACGTCGTGTCAACTCTCCACCGTCCCCAATGTAGGTAGGTAGGTAGGTAGGCGTGTAGGTCACGTGACTCACGTCGTGTCAACTCTCCACCGTCCCCAATGTAGGTAGGTAGGTAGGTAGGCGTGTAGGTCACGTGACTCACGTCGTGTCAACTCTCCACCGTCCCCAATGTAGGTAGGTAGGTAGGTAGGCGTGTAGGTCACGTGACTCACGTCGTGTCAACTCTCCACCGTCCCCAATGTAGGTAGGTAGGTAGGTAGGCGTGTAGGTCACGTGACTCACGTCGTGTCAACTCTCCACCGTCCCCAATGTAGGTAGGTAGGTAGGTAGGCGTGTAGGTCACGTGACTCACGTCGTGTCAACTCTCCACCGTCCCCAATGTAGGTAGGTAGGTAGGTAGGCGTGTAGGTCACGTGACTGACGTCGTGTCAACTCTCCACCGTCCCCAATGTAGGTAGGTAGGTAGGTAGGCGTGTAGGTCACGTGACTCACGTCGTGTCAACTCTCCACCGTCTCCAATGTAGGTAGGTAGGTAGGTAGGCGTGTAGGTCACGTGACTCACGTCGTGTCAACTCTCCACCGTCCCCAATGTAGGTAGGTAGGTAGGTAGGCGTGTAGGTCACGTGACTCACGTCGTGTCAACTCTCCACCGTCCCCAATGTAGGTAGGTAGGTAGGTAGGCGTGTAGGTCACGTGACTCACGTCGTGTCAACTCTCCACCGTCCCCAATGTAGGTAGGTAGGTAGGTAGGCGTGTAGGTCACGTGACTCACGTCGTGTCAACTCTCCACCGTCCCCAATGTAGGTAGGTAGGTAGGTAGGCGTGTAGGTCACGTGACTCACGTCGTGTCAACTCTCCACCGTCCCCAATGTAGGTAGGTAGGCGTGTAGGTTACGTGCTATGAGGGTGGATGTGTATGTATGTTTACCTACACATCCACCCACATACCACGTGACCTACACATTATAAAAATATTAAACATTTGAAAGAAGAAATAGCAATTATTGTTATAATTTTTATTATCCCGATGAGTCCCGTCTGCTGCCTGGACCGCGTAGAATTTTTTCTAGTTATATTTTCTTTAGATTTAACATCAAGCAGTAACATACTTAGAAATATAAAAAACAAATATAACGAATAAGTAGTTATAATATGCCTGCATGTTTTGATTTTTTTGTAAATGCTTATTAAATCTCCACACTAGACGTCTTTAGTGGTGATAAAAAATAGTTTATTTTTTGGCCTTTTTCGATGGCTTCTAGTTTCTTTGAAACACAAGTTACCGAATAAAGGAATACATAGGAGCATAGAATAAGTAATATTGTATTTTATGTCTTGTCTTTTTAGTAGCAGCATAAATATTATTTTCAAATAAGCTATATGCTAATGTTCGGATTCGTTGAGCGGGGCATCCTGGTGACCTGTAACACAGCTATTCCCATACCTATTTGAGGCATCAGACTCTCACATTTTATGTAAGATTATTTCCACCTTATATAGCGTCACTTAATGTGTACATTGTGAAGAGTAATAAAGCATTAGTGTCAATTTTGGCGTGATTCTCTAAACTTAAAACTAAATTTAAGGTCAGTCTCACCTTTTCATTCTGTATAGAGAAGGACAAGGATGTACTGTTGTCAAATTTAAGTTGAGCTTTAGAGAATCATGCCAGAATCGCCATCATTATATAACTATTATTATGTATGAAAATAATTTCTTTGTGATTAAAATCAAGGTGGAATGAGTCGAGAACGTTTGTTTGGAAAAATCATAGCCCCTTCCCTCTTAACTGTTGTCAAATATAATTTTAGGTCTACAGATTCATGCCAGAATCGACACCACCAGCGGAAAGAATAATGAGTTCGTTCGTGCAGTAATTATCGCGTGATGATTTATGACGACTTGCGGAATAAGCGCCGTTTAAAAAAACGCAAAAATATTTTGCCTATACGATTTCAAGTACCAATAATTACATTTACAGGTTTCGTAATGCACAAGGCCTTTATTTGTGATTCGATTGATTACAATTGCCATTTCCTTTATAAACTTACATCTTACTTTCATACTTCTATATATATAAAACTCAAAGGTGACTGACTGACTGACATAGTGATCTATCAACGCACAGCCCAAACCACTGGACGGATCGGGCTGAAATTTGGCATGCAGGTAGATGTTATGACGTAGGCATCCGCTAAGAAAGGATTTTGATCAAATCTACCCCCAAGGGGATAAAATAGGGAATGAAAGTTTGTATGAAACTGTCAATTTTAAACCGATCGGGCTGAGACTGCATGCAGGTATAAGAAGAATCATAGATGAATGTCATTGTGTATAATACAAGTCTGAGAACAAAAAGTGTAGTCTACACTTCAGCTCTACACCGAAGCGAAGCGAGCATTATAAATGTGAAAGTTTGTATGTTTGCCTGTTTGTTACTCAATCATGCAAAAACTACTGAACGGATTTCGATGAGATTTGTTACGCATATACCTGGATTGTGATATATACTTTATATCCCGGTTTTTTTTGAATAGTGGGATTCTTAAAAAAACTAAAGTGTCGGGCGGCCGCTAGTAAAATATAAATACATACCTCAGCTTGTTCGTTGTCCGGATTTTCTGTAGAAAGCATTTCGACTAAAGAACCCATAGGTAAAACTTCGCCATCTTGCTCCTTCGGATTTCTGTAGCAAAATAATAGTAAGGCTAACTTATAGTGATAATTGACATTGTGGGTTACCTACAATGCCAAGAGATGGCGCTGCCTTGTAGCTAAGAAAGGCTAGAATGAATTCGACACGACCATCAGAGCCGCGGTAGCATAATGGTCAGTGCATTCGCCCGGATAGCTAAGGGTGCTGGTTCGGGCCCGTCTGCTGCCTGGTCCGCGTGAAATTTTTTCTAGTAATATTTTCTTAGGGCTAACTTACTCTAGGTATACTAATATTAAAAAGAGAAAAGATTTGAATTTTTGTAGCGAATAAGTCAAAAACCACTGGACCAATTTCAGAAATACTTTCACCATCAGAATGCTACGTTGCTGTAGTATAGTAACATGCTGCAACGGGGATGATGACAAATTTTTTTTTTCATTGTCTATTAGGTTGATTATCAAAAGTATGGGATACGTATTTTATTCTTTTTTTACACAATCAAAACATTACAGAGACATTGAATTGAAATGTCGAGTGACGTCACGTCTTTGTACAAATTTTACTCAAAAGTGACATCAGCAGCCCCCACTCCCAAAATATGATACAACTTTTTGTAATTTTTTTGTTACCGGACAAAAGAAAAAACAATCCATTCTTTTTTGATAATTTACGCTAACGGACTTAATAGAATTTCGTTTACGCTGTCATCGTTCCTATTTATTGCTTTAAAATAAATTGACCCGTGCAAAGTCGTTTAGTCGTTATTATTATTTAACAATAATAATAAATATTTCCAACACTCACACCAATTAGCCAAGCCCCAAAGTAACCACTGTAGGCTTGTGTTATGGGATACTAGGGTAACGAATAGCATACATATTAAATATCCATGACTGGGAGTACAAATGCTTGTTATCATCACACAAACATCTACCCCTACCGGGAATCGAAACCGGGACCTCTCGAGTAGGCGACACCTTGAAACCTGGCGTACAAACTACTCGACCACGGAGGTCTTCATAACCAATCTATACATATAATAAAATGGTAGGAAAGTCAAAACTGCACATTGAATATTTTTTTAAAAGAATACTTGGGGTGTCATCTACGATCGATACCGAAGTCAAAAATATAGTTTTTAGAATTTTTGTCTGTTTGTCTGAATGTATGTCCGGGATAAACTCAAAAAGTGCTGCATGGATTTACTTCAAAGGACATTGGGTAAAAATCACACAAACTTGTCCACGCTTCGGCGAAAACATGATTCCGGTTCATCCATACTAATTGACAAAAGCGATAATCGTGTTCCAATGCCCAAAGCGTGTTAGATAAAAATCAATCAAGTGACAGGGAGCGTACAATCACGACGAAGTAAGAAGACGAGTCGACTCTTTGCAACTGCAAGTGCTTCAACCCCCGTAAATCGTTTTGAGGTGTCCCAGTAAGTGCAAGGGCAGGATGGTCGGCAGGCTTTGTCATATATCTGGTTGTATAGTACGATTTGGCATATTATTATGATTACTAAATAAAGGTACTATAAAATGAATTTATTTAGCTACTTAAATATGCCCATGTGTCATATCTTTTGACTACCAGGATATTTTTTTACGGTGTCATAATAAAAAAGGCTACTTTTTTATAGATCTATCGATTCATACTAATTACATTGTTGGCGGAGCTAGGTATGTTTTGCCAATGTCTTTGGCACGAATATTATTAAGAAGTCAGGTCAACATATAGGCTACTTATTATCACACTATCACCTACAAGGAACGAGCAATGAACAGGGTCAAAAAGTATGTGCAAATAACTATCTCCACGCGTACGAAGTCGCGGGCGGCCGCTAATACAAATATTTAAATACAATAATCAGATAAATAGGGACGACCTCCGTGGCCGAGTGGATTGTACACTGGGTTTCATGGTGACGCCGACTCGAGAGGTCTCGGGTTCGAATCCCGGCGGGGGCAGATGTTTGTGTGATGAATACGAGCATTTGTACTCCAGTCATGGATGTTTAATATGTATTTCTATATGAATATTCTTATATAGATATAACATTAATAAACAATAAACTTAAAAAAAGCATTATAATTGGCGGTCTTATCGCTAAGAGCGATTTCTTCCAGACAACCGTGATGTGTACTGTATTATGTATTCTATCCGTTACCCTAGTATCCCATAACACAAGCCTACAGTGCTTACTTTGGGGCTAGGCTAATTGGTGTGTGTTGGAAATATAAAAAAAAACCTGTATCGGTGCATCCGTAGGACATGTTCCGAGATCATATTGTCGTGGTCCGCGTCCGCGATGTCCAACATCACGAACAGCAGGTCGAAACGGGAGAGCAGTGAGTCTTGGAGGCCGATGTTCTCCATGGGGGTCTTGTATTGGTCGTACTGTAGGGAACGAGTGAAGTTTGAAAATTTCTATAATGAACATATAGCGTCATGGTAGCGTACTACATTACGACGATGCTAAAGTCTCATCATCATCAGCCTTTTAATGTATCCCCCGGGTATTCCCAGACCCACTGCTGGGAACGTCATTGTCTTCTTAATACATACATAGCTAAAACTCATCCTCTTACGTTGCAGTGCATTAAATTCCAGGTCTTAGTAGTAAGAGACAGATTGACAGAGTTGTTTTTATTACTTAAGATTGTATTTTAAATAAACTGTCATATAACACTCACCCTGCCGTAGACGGGGTTGGCAGCCGCCAGTACTGAGCAGCGCGCGTTGAGCGTGGCATCATATCCCCCCCTGTCCCCCATATAGCACTCATCCTGTCGTAGACGGGGTTGGCAGCCGCAAGTACTGAGCAGCGCGCGTTGAGCGTGGCATCATATCCCCCCTGACCCCCATATAGCACTCACCCTGCCGTAGACGGGGTTGGCAGCTGCCAGTACTGAGCAGCGCGCGTTGAGCGTGGCATCATATCCCCCCTCCCCCCATATAGCACTCACCCTGCCGTAGACGGGGTTGGCAGCTGCCAGTACTGAGCAGCGCGCGTTGAGCGTGGCATCATATCCCCCCCTCCCCCCATATAGCACTCACCCTGCCGTAGACGGGGTTGGCAGCTGCCACTACTGAGCAGCGCGCGTTGAGCGTGGCATCATATCCCCCCCTCCCCCCATATAGCACTCACCCTGCCGTAGACGGGGTTGGCAGCTGCCACTACTGAGCAGCGCGCGTTGAGCGTGGCATCATATCCCCCCCCTCCCCCCATATAGCACTCACCCTGCCGTAGACGGGGTTGGCAGCCGCCAGTACTGAGCAGCGCGCGTTGAGCGTGGCATCATATCCCCCCCTCCCCCCATACAGCACTCACCCTGCCGTAGACTGGGTTGGCAGCCGCCAGTACTGAGCAGCGCGCGTTGAGCGTGGCATCATATCCCTCCCTGTCCCTCATATATCCCCTCCTACTATTTTGCTCACCAGTACAGATCCTATCTTTTCCCTCATATTAATAACAAGTAAATTTATTTGTCCTCAAGTGTAAATCGGCTTTAGAACTCAAATTTTTACTTCCCAATTTACTTCTAGGTTTAACTTACACCCAAAACAAAATCTACGCAAAGCAGAAAAATAGTCACACATTTCACTTACACAGTCAAAATGTAATATTGTTTTTAGCCTAGGTTGTAACATGCCATTGTACTCTGGTGCATTCCATAATCTGTAATGTACAGTATGCCCTGACAGGACAGGCTGAGCCTAGAAGGAGGTTCAGGAAATTATATTCTTGATATGCCTGAAATTAACTAAAACAAATGAACTATTATATAGCACTCACCCTGCCGTAGACTGGGTTGGCAGCCGCCAGTACTGAGCAGCGCGCGTTGAGTGTGGCATGCACTCCCGCCTTGGCGATGGTGACACGGCCCTGTTCCATCACCTCATGGATGGCGGTGCGGTCGATGTCCGACATTTTGTCGAACTCGTCGATGCAGACCACGCCACGGTCAGCGAGAACCATGGCGCCTGCCTCTAGCCTGAAGTTAAAATTAAAATGCGATGGAAAACAAAAAAAAGGGGGAAATCTAAAGATATCGGTACGGGATCTACAATGCAAAGAGATGGCGCTGCCTTCACATTATCATCACTTCACCAGCCAATTAATGTCCCCACTGCTGAGACACAGGCCTTCTTTATGGATGGAATAGGGTCACCTAAAGTGAATATTTCTTAAGCGAATCTGTTCCGAAATTAATCTGACACATAATTAATCAGTCTTTCCTATAGCGAGTCAGCTGTCCTGAATCCACCAACCATTATCAAATAAAATTGGAAGATTTAAAAGTGCTTTTAAATAAGTCTATTTGAACAAAGTACATATATTTTTATTTTATTTCCACCCTTATTTACCTGCGGTCCCCCGTGTCGGGGTCGGTGGTGACGGCAGCAGTAAGCCCCACACCCGAGGAGCCGCGCCCCGTGGTGGTGACCGCGCGAGGCGCCGTCGATAATACGTAGCGCAGTAGTTGAGACTTGGCCACTGAAGGATCGCCGATTAAGAGGACGTTTATATCGCTACAGAAGAATAATTTCTAGATTAATATTAGGTCAGTCAAATAAAGGTATCGTAGGTTGCAATAGCTGTCCGTTCAACTCAACTGTCCATGCCCGGAGCCAAGCGCCCTTACAAAAGGGTAGCTGTGAAAGTTGTCATTTTTAAACAATTTTTGCTAAGTGGTTTATCTCACAATGGTTAGTGCCATATGCACATGAAATACCAAAACTTAAATTTCAAAATCTGTATTTAAACAACAAATACTGAAAAAGGCCAATTCATAACGTACTTTGTAAATTGTGTTAAAAACAAACAAATGATTTTTCCTTTCGCGGTATATTGGCAAATGCGATGTTGCGAACTTCCCTATTCCTAGTTTTCCCAGTTAAGTCCTGCAAAGCTATGTTAATTATGTCTCCTGCACTATATTTATGTAGTCTACCAATTAGACCAACAAATAATACTTGAAATAAATAAAGGAGATTCAGTAGAACCCGGTTAATACGATCACGCTTAATACGATTTCTCGCATAATACGCCTAAATCGTCAACACGTACCACCCATACCTCTTGCGGCAGCGGCCAGAGATTGACATGACGACTGTCGACGACTAAGTGACCCCCAGAGGTTTCCTGGATATTCTTCCATTGATGACAATATGGCACCATTACAATTGAAGATCTTATTGAGAATGTGAAAAACTCACAAGAAGAGGCCCAAAGCAATAATAATCAAGAAGAAGATAATAATCAAGAACTCTGCTTTTGTCACACGCCTAGGCATTATCAGCAGTTAATGATTCAGGACGCTATTTTGCGCTTCTTTCGCTTCGCTTCTTTGAATCAAAGTGAAGAGGCACAGTAAAAGTTAAATAATGTTGAAAATCTTGTAATTGTTAATGGCCAAAATCTTCTTCTCAAACTAAAATAAGTGATTAATTTTAATACAAACATAATAATAAAACACTAAGTTTTTTACAATGCAAATATATAATTCTTAAATATTGTACATTTAATACCTCAATACCTACATTTGAAATTTCGCTATCTCGCATAATACGCTTTCCCACTTAAGACGCGTTTGGGGTCGAATGTCTGTGAAATCGTCTTAAACGGGTTTACTGTACTTTAATAAGCCTTTTATTTACGGCAGTGAAATTTTGTTATAATAAAACTTTGTAGAAAAATGGAGAAAAGAGAAACTAGGTAAGTATGCGTAATCATTACTACCACGAAGTACATAACTGCTGCACCCCAGCAGAGATTGAGAAAGAACATCTCACTATTAATATTTTAAGTAAGAACGTAATATTACCCTCTCAGTCTTGTGCCATTAGGTAAAATCTTCTCCATTCCTCCTAGAAGCAGGCACAATATTGCCTTCTTGATGTAGTCATGACCATGTATTGAGGGGGCCAATGATTTACTTAGCAACTCAAACATATCTACTGTAGCACGTTTTGCTAAGCGCTTACACAACTTGATGTCCTCGAGCGTTACATTCATGTTCATTTCTTTGTTTATTTGGGTTACATTATTTGCTATTAGTATAGTCCTGGAATCGAAACAATACAATATAATAATGTTGGCACATAGGATCAGGTAAAATTTAAGTGTATTAGTTGGTAAGGCCGTATACAGAAAGAAAGCTGGAAGCCGACCAGCCAGACCACCTTATCAGCGCTTGTCGGCGCTGGTCCTTGCCGGTAATCGGCGCAAGCATTTTTATGGACCAGCGCCGATAAGTGCCGATAAGCGCTGGTCAACGCTGGCACTGCCCTTTGAAATTAATGAACAACTTTATGTAACCGTTACCAGCGCCGACAAGCGCTGATAAGCACTGGTCAGCTTCCAGCTTTCTTTCTGTATACGGCCTTAGTAGCAATAAAGAAATAGGTAGGTACTAAGAAATTTATAAGAATGATATGTAGAATACTATTTATGTGTCTTGCTACATCAAAAAAACATTTGAAGGTCACAAATATGTTTATCATATAAAATTAGAGTAAAAAGAAATTACCTAAAAGTACCAGCTGTAAAACTACCCTGCTTTGAGGGTAAACATCTATAGTTGCCAACAATTTGCACCCTGTCACCGGGCTTACACTTGTCCACAAGGTCGTCGTCACAGACAACGTCCACACTGCGTGGTAGCTGGCCAGCTGGGGCTCTCTCTGGCATCTCCTGGACTGTAAGAGTCTGGTGATCTTTGTAACGAGACAAACCAAATTCTGTTTCTAATGGGTTGCCTTCATCATCCTGTAAAATTAATGTATTCTTTTATTGTATTAGTATTGTGTGACATCTTAGAAATTATGTTTTGTAAGATATATACAGATATAACTATTAGAGACGGGCCAACACGCCGCTGCCTAGCCAGGAGAGACGACTATTTAGCATCATTTATATTCAACAAAACATGCCAATTTTAATCAGTACATAACAAATAGAACAAAACTCAAAACTAATGATTGTCTTTAAATATCTAAACAGTACCTTTAGTGTGTATATAAAGTTAGTTAGTTGTTAAAATATAATAAAATAAAGTAACATAATAAGAATTACCAACTTAGAAATCTGTCAGTAATAAAGATAATTTAACCCAACAAAAATGGCACATAACAAAATAGCAATAGCAAGTTAGAGTCAAACAAAGCCAATACACATCTTCGCTCCTACATTGTTTACTCACCTTGGTAGGGTAGACTGCTGAAGTAGGAAAAGCCTCGAATGAGGTAAGGTCAGTGTACTTGCGTTCCATTACTTTCTTAGTAGCTGGACAATAATGAACACTGCGGACTACTTTAGGACGGACCAACGACACTCTGGTAACGATACCCTCTACACAAATTAAGTTGCCCAAATACCTGCAATTTTATGTAAATAATTATATTGCTGTTTTTGCTGATTTATCAAAAAACTTTTGATTATTACTGCTTGCGTACCTTGACGTCAAGCTTCTAGGTGTTACATGTTTGTTACCAAAACTACCAGAAAACGCCACAAAAAACTCTTCCTGAACTTTAGCATATGTTGGGTCAATAGACGAAACATATTCTTTTAAGGCTCTCTGAAATGCTATTTGTTCTTCAAATGCGTTTTCCAGCAAGTTCTTAGCGCGCTGTGGATTCTTTCTTCTCAAATCATTCACATTAACAATAAGGCGTTTGGAATTATCAGCTATCATTTGTTTGACTTGTTCCATGTATATTCCTTGATCTTCCTACGATTTACATAAAGGATCAACCAATGATAATCAAATAAACAAAGGTATGCCATTTAACATTTATAAAAAATTCTTTCGGATAAAATCAAATATGCACTTAGCAAAATAAGAGGTTATTTTTAATCAAACTTACTTCATCATCCAAAAATTCCAAATATTCTCTTTGTAAATCTCTTAGCCGTTGATCAAAGTCACCTTCTTCCATTTTCTGATTATTTCAGACGAAATTCACAAACAAAGCAATAGCTTCCTGATAAATAGAAAATATTATTTTCAACAGAACAAAACAATCCGGTTTTCGGTGTCAGATTTTGGCGCGAAATCGCCCATGCTCCTAATGGTAGCCATAGGGTGCGGCCAGAGTGCACTCAGATTCAGACTCAGATTCAGATTTCGAAAACAAGCGCGAGAAATAAACAGTGATGTCGATTCTGGCATGATTCTCTAAAGCTAAACTTAAATTTGACAACAGTGCATCCCTGTCATTCTCTATGCAGAATGAAAAGGAGAGACTGATGTTAAATTTAGTTTTAAGTTTAGAGAATCACGCCAGAATCGATACCAGTGTAGTCTAAGCAGGTTGCTTGCTTTTTCTCGCGCTTTGTTTTCTGAGTCTGAATCTAAATCTGAATCAGGAGTGCAATCTGGCCGTACCCTTCAACTACACTGTTTATTTCTCGCGCTTGTTTTCAGAATCTGAATCTGACTCTGAATCTGAGTGCACTCTGGCCGCACCCATACACACTACGAGAAATCGTTACGATTAGACTGTACCGTCCGAACGGTACCGATAAATCGTAGAGTGTATGTTATAAAACTGCACAGTTTTCTATACGTACGCCACGTACGATAAACTGTTCCGTTCGAACTGTACAGTCTGATCGTAAGGATTTCTCGTAGTGTGTATGGCTACCATTAGATTACGCCGGGACTTCATTTGGCTATTGGTATTTGCTATTTGTAAAATATATAATGATGTCGATTCTGGCATGATTCTCTAAAGCTAAACTTAAATTTGACAACAGTGCATCTTTATCATTCTCTATACAGAATGAAAAGGAGAGACTGATGTTAAATTTAGTTATAAGTTTAGAGAATCACGCTAGAATCGGCACCAATAAACATATAACACTACACATATTTGTTTGCATTTGGTTTGGATTGTAGCATGATTCTCTAAATTTAAAACTAAATTTAACATCAGTGTTTCCTTTTCATTCTGTATAAAGCATGACAAGGATACATTTTTGTAAGTTTAGGTTTAGAGAATCAACACCAAATCCCCCCCCCCCCCCCCCCATGTGGTTAGAGGGGAGGAAGAGGGTATTTTTCTTTTCTTATACCTCTGATTTTTCATCAGACATTTTTTGACAACTCGCTGGCAGAGGCTCCCTAAATATAGTCATAATTTAACATAAATCTCAATATATCACACTTCGACGTACCAAACTAACCAAAACAAGCTAACCTCTACGACAATACGGCATCACATCGAAATAGTAAAATGCTTACGGTTGCCAATGCTCATGCGCGATTAGAGAGAGAAAGCTAGCAGTCTCTTATCTTCTTTCTCTTCCTATTAGAGGGACACTTCCACTTGTAGTAGAGTGTATTTCCCCCATACTCTATTCTTATACATCTATGAAATATCATTAGATTTAAAATGCCATGGATGGACAGCGCAGAAATTAGTTTGCTACAGTATCATGTGCTCGACAGTAAGCTAAAATACTGCTTTAGATAATTAAGATTGTATTTTAAACAGTTTTGGCATAGAAAATAGCTTGGTAGTTTTCCAATTACAGCACTAGAGCGCATTATGCTTATCGTTGAATATTTCAACTACAGCAACGCTTCGCACAATCGAGCACTCTTAAAAGTAATTTTATCGTGTGATGCGTGCAATCTACCAACTCAGTGACAGAAAATTAACAAGTGTTTTTTCTTTAAGTTTTGTTGAAAATTTTTTAAAGCTTTCGTTTCATTGTAGTTTTTTTTAAATAATCAAAGTTAATTCAAACTGTAAAAACATATATAAGTATGGATAAAGGTACAAACATTGACTTAGCGCACTCTGCTGGTGCCTTTGAAAACTAATTCACGTTCCAAATTAGCATTAGCATAATTCGGCATTGTGTGCCATTGAGTCGCATTATGCTCTATAATTAGAAAACTACCAGAGTCTTCTTCTTTGATCATTGGCATAATTTGGCATTGTGCGCCACTGAATCGCATTATGCTCTGTAATGGGAAAACTACCCTTGCCTCCTCAATAAATGCACTCTCCACCACAATAAGAATTTTTAAAATCGGATTAGTAGTTCTTGAGATTAGCGCGTTCAACCAAACAAACAAACTATTCAGCTTTATAATATGAAGTATAGATATTAAATAATTAAAAACGGTTTTAAGTTTCGTTTTGATAAAATGTTCTCGTCTATTTCCCTCTACCTACCCTTCTCTGTGCTCCCCCTAGCGAAGCCAAGTGATGAAGTGAAGCACAGAATACCAAAAGTTCTTTGTGTTTGTCAAAAGTCTGTGGTTCTTTCTGACGGATGGAAACCAAAACAATTATTTGTTTTCATGACCAAAACCTTTAATTTTCAAACAATTAGTAGAATTTCTAATAATTTAATGTCGTGTAATGGTAATAATTCTCTAAATAGGAAGATTATTAATATAAAATATATGGGAAAAATGTCTGTGTCCGATCAAAATTCTAACCAAAGTACATCGGAAAGAAAAGAAGACCGACCGAAGCTGAAAATTCTAGCTTTTCATGGTTACAGACAAAACGGTGCATTATTTCGAGGGAAAATCGGATCATTCCGTAAAGCTGTATCAAAGTATGCCCAATTAACATTTATATCTGCCCCACACAAAGTATTTAATGAAGAAGGTGGTGGAGATGAAGGTATGGGATTTTTTAAAATAATAATTATCAATTCATCTTTCATTGGGTTGGTTATCTCATCCATTCATGAATTACTCTGAAATATCTGGTTTATAATTACTTTTGCCCCTTTGAAATCTAATAAGACTTGTTACCAGATCACAGGTCATGGTGGTTCAATGCCGAGGACAACACATTCAGTGGCAAATGTCTCGGTGGTCCAGCCATTGGTTTCGAGGCGACATTACGTTTAGTGGAGAAGATAGTACAAGAGCATGGCCCATTTGATGGGTTCATGGGTTTTTCACAAGGAGCATGCTTAGTAGGCCTCTTAGCTGCTATGCAGCAAAAAGGATGTGAGTTATTGTTTGTTTACTTCAATGTTTTTTTCTTTTATAGTATACAAATAATATGTTAAGAGTGCAATAGAACTGGGAGAAATTAGGATTTTTGCTAATTTGAATTGATTTTTTGATAATACACCTCATTAAATGAATTTTATTCTTACAGATCTACCATATACATTTAAGTTTGCAATATTTGCATCTGGCTTCCGTTCAGGGAGCTTAGTCCATAAAGGATTTTATGATGAAGAAATTGAATTACCATCACTTCATGTTTATGGTGAAAGTGATTCTATAATTCCTAAAGGTAAGTGAGTGTGCTCCAATAATAACTTTAAACTGATATAAAACTTTCAGAGTAATACATGTCATAGATATATTTTTGTTACAGAAATGAGCGAATCACTAATAAGTTTATTTGTCAAGCCTATTGTAGCAGAGCATTCTGGGGGGCATTATGTGGCATGTTCAGGAGCTATCAAAGATGCCTACCTTGATTTTCTGCATGACAAGCACCAAGACTTACTAGATGAACAGAATAAAAAAGGAAAAAATAATATTTCCCAACAGTCATCAGTGGGAATTATTGAAAATTCTTTACAACATAATGATTATTATTAAAGCAAACCTACAACTGAATTATTATTTTATGTAATTTATATTTTTTTGTTCCCCAAGATAGCGTAAATGTGAAAAGTTTATAATGATGTTTTATTATAACCATTATATAAAGGTTCAAAAATAATTTCTTGTGTTCCAGCAGTGGGGCCGTAGTTGTGCACACTTGTTGAGGCCTTGTTTTTGTAAAAGGATAATCATTTAGTAATTAGTTCAGTGCCTACTTCATTTTATGCTTAATAAGATTTAAAAATTATAAAATAAATAAAAAATAATGTTTTTCTACGCAAGCCGAGTGAATTGCCATTTAAAAAAAATAGGCTGTCAAAATACGTATTTTTCTAATCTGTGGTGCGTGCGTGAAGAATATTAAGTTTTAAGGTTATTTTTGTGTTTACAAACTGTTCATCAAAGAATTACACTAAGTTTGTTTGAGTAACTCTCTTTTCATGACTTTAGTATGTAGTTCTAGGTAGTATCTGTTAATATATAAATAGAAAACTAGTTTAAAAATGTGGCGTAGATATTTACTTTGGTTTGCTCATGAGCATGTAGACTTTCGGTATGCAGTAAGTATTAAACTTATTTAATTTCATCTAAATCCTGATATAATTTCGTCTTTATTATGTTATAACGGTTTAAGCAATAAATGAACACCATATCGAATGTGAGAGCAGCTGATGAGTGTCCTTGTTTTTCATGGTTTTCAGGAAATGCAAAGTATTGTTTCCATATTTAAAATCCCTATTAAATATATTGAAAAACCATGCGATAAGAAGCCTTACTGGATAGTTGAGTTGCCAACAGAAGAATACGCAATGAAGATAGCCTCACGATCAGTTCTTATCAAAAATTGTATAGAACTGTGGTCAACAACAAAATCTGTTAGTCAACTGCACCTGAACTTAAGGAATGCTTTGTTAAACACAAGTGGACAATGGATTGTTCAAAAAAGCTCTGAAACAGGAACAAGTGAACACATATGTCCGTACTCATTAATAGAAACTTGCTGTCCAGCAAGTAAATCTTTCAAAATAGAAGTGGAGACTTTCTGTAAACATTATACAATGAAAGAGAAGGTTGACAAGATTGAGGTAATAATAGATTAAGGTTGGGTTGTTTCAAAGTAAAATTTCCCTATATTTTGAGGAAATAATAAATCAAGCCACTAAAAAAAATTTAGCGACAGATGATGAGATAAAGTTTTCTAACTTGAGCGGTATGAATTTGAATAATCAACAAAACAACTAAACTGATGATGAACATTGATTAATAATGAAATCCAGATCAAACTTACAAAATTTGGACTTTAGAAAATCCATTTAGCACACAAAAATATTAAGTGTTCAACTGAATTACTAAGTAAACAATCAAGAATTACTAAGTAAACAATCAAAATACAGAGCAAGCAACATAAATACTAAAAGATGTTTTTTTTTTAAATTGAGGTTTCACATAACAAACAACTAAAAGTTTATTTGACACTGTATTGTGAGCTGCTTTGTTAATGATTATTGGCTACTAGTATTCTATTTGAGGTCTCTTGTTATATTAGAATATGCTTTTTTAATAAAAACTACAGATTGTTGCTTGTGAATTTAGATCTAGGCAGGGCAGCAGTTGCAGTCAGGTGAGATAGGCCATAGTCTAATGGCGTTGGGTATTTCTGATTAATTTAGTTATTTCAAAAAATATTAAAAAGAAAACGAGACAAAGTACCCTGCTCATTTCAGTATTTTTCAAAAAGTGAGAGTGAGAGTGGAGTGACTACATTAAGATATTTCCGATCACTACAAATAAGTCATTGCTAAATATTGCAAAAAAAAGGCAGGACATAATGTTGTCACTCATACAAATATAAGGTTGCTCAAATACTTTAAAGCTGCTCATTTTGTATTTTAAGTAGCTCAGCTGAATGTTTTTAATATGCCGTTTAATTGTTTTTTTACAGACATTTAGCTATTTACCATTGAAGGGGCCTGTAAAATTAAAGAATCCAGATGTCACCTTGTCTTATTTAGAGTTTTATGGTGTGGATCCAAACAATGTTCCCAATGAGCCATATGAAGTATTTTTTGGTAGATGGGTGAGTATGTTGATTACTAAAAACTTAAACAATATCATAATTTTATTTTATGAATATTACTTAAATAATAACTTAACTGTCTAAAATAATTTCAAAAAATTGAATGAATATGTTCAACATCATCACACAGTCAATACTGGATATGCTTAGATTAAATTCCTTATATCAAGGTAGCAGATGGACAACGGGATGTCATTCAGTACCATTCATTGAAGAAGCGGCAGTTCATTGGCAACACCAGTATGGATGCGCAGCTGGCATTGATAATGGCGAACCAGGCACGTGTGACGTCCGGAGACTTGGTGCTTGACCCATTTGTAGGGTCTGGCTCATTATTAGTTGCTGCAGCTCACTTTGGTGGTGAGATGTTTTTCAAGATTTGATTTTTGTTTATTTGAGGTCTTAGTTAAATAAATTAATAAAATCATTTGCAGGGTACGTGTGGGGATCCGACATTGATTTTATGATGCTCCACGCTCGAACGCGCCCAACGCGCGTCGGACAAAAGGTATCAAACTATGTTAGAGTAGCACTCATGTTACAATAATTTTGTATTTTATTATTTACTAGCTGACCCGGCGAACTTCGTACCGCCTTAGCGTAGCTTTGATGCACTACTTTATTTTGTATAGCTGACCTATCTTATGTATGAGTACCTATTCAATTTGAACTGGAATCTATAATATCCTCCATATAAAAATGAATCCTTATTTCCCTGGTCTCGCCATACCTGAGGACTTTACTAATTTTTATTAAATAAAAAACAACATATATATTTTCATAATAGTGTTTATTCCATAGGGTTCAATTTCACTCATATTTTTACAAATCGCTATTGAACAACTTTGCATTTTGAAGTAAACACTGAGCTCAACACCACGCGCGCTCTAGAAAGCAACTAATAGCCTCTATACCCTTCACTGCTTCTCTCTATTCTAATGCTTTTTGATAAACTATACGGTACGAAGTTCCCGGGTCAGCTAGTCCATAACCGCGCTAACAATAATTTTATTAAGTTTTTCATAAAGTTCGTTTTGTTTTAAAGACTAAGAAATTTTTTGTTTGCTAATAAGTGTTTGTTCCTGTCACAGATTACCACAGATTTTTTTGTTTTAAATTGAATGACGTTGACATTTGTCAGCGTGGTTATCGATGTGGTGTCACAGATTACCACAGATTTTTTGTTTTAAATTGAATGACGTTGACATTCGTTACGTTATATTTTTCAATCTTTCTGAGAGATTTTCTTTATATTTTTTTCCGTAAGAACCTAGTACAGAGTATTAGAAAACTACAAAAAAAAAAAACAGCCAAATCGGTCAAGCCGTTTTCATGTTATGTCGTGACAACGGAAAACGGGTTTCATTTTTATATATATAGATTATAGAAAAGGGTGGCAAATAAGCATATGGCCCGCCTGCTTGTAAGCTAGGTAAGCGGCCACCATAGCCTGTAGACGCATGCGATGCCAAAAATATCACTCGTACAGCTCCCTACCCTGATCCAATCCCCTACCCCGTGGAACCCTGGAACCTTACCTACAGAAACACAACAGCACCAAAAGTAAGTTTTTTTAACTGTGATTTTTAAAGGTTGTCTGGAAGAAATCGCTTTTAGCGATAAGACCGCCCATTGAAGCACTCTTTTTTTACAATTGTAATGTCCCTCATTTCTGTTCTGTGTTGTGGTGTTTTCAATAAAGTATTGTGTATTGTATTGTATTGTATTGTATTTTTTGTAAGGTGGAGGTTACTTCCCAGACGGACGCTCCAATTCGAGCTCAAAACCTGCTATGTTCTACCTCTCTTAATTTCTATTTCTATGTCCAGTATTGCACTGAGGAGCTCGATGGCGCAAGTGGTTAGCGCGTTCGGCTGCGATCGTTGAAGTTAAGCAACTTTCGCAGTGGTCGGTCGTTGGATGGGTGACCAAAAATTTACTATCTCCAGCTCTTCCGTGCTTCGGAAGGCACGTTAAGCCGTTCGTCCCGGCTGTATTTGCAGTCGTCAGCACCCACCAATTCGCACTGGGCCTGAGTGGTGGGTCATGGCATGATCTCCCTATTCCATCCATAGGGAAGGCCTGTGCCCCAGCAGTGGGGACATTAATAGGCTGATGATGATTGCACTAGATGCTCGCTCGCTCTTAAAGGTCATATATTTTTATATTTCACAGCGGTTAGGTCTCAGTCGTTGTCTAGAAGATAGTATCAAAATGCCATACCATTGCATACAATGGTTTCCGAAACTATGTTGTCTATTGGTAGACTTTACTATCCTCTTTTTTGTCGTTACACTCTTGGCAGAGTGGTCGTGGCCGTTACTGCAGCATCATCGGCCGATTCAGTGGCGGTAATTCGCTGCACAAAGCGACGCCATACCTCCCTCACGGCAGCTTTCCTTGTGCACACGTGTAAAGGATCATTAGTTATGGCTTTAATTTGGTCAGTCCATCTTGTTGGCGATCTACCGTGTGATTGGGTGCCTTCAACTCTACCCTGAACATTCATGATTCTTTACCATACCTGCCTAAAGTTAACAGCATGTGCATTCTGTTATTATTTGTTTACTATCAGGACATCTCTTATCTATTAGACAAGTCCGTCCGTCCGTCCGTGTGTGGTGCTGTTTCAGCGGCCAAACCGTAAGAGATAGATAAAGAGAATGTTTAAGTTATAAGTTAAGAATAGTCTGATAAGACTACAAACCGGATTTGAGTAACGTAGCACTTCCGGTTTTCGAGAAATCACGAATTTCAAACGAAACCACACAAAATCTCCGAAGTTCTCAATTAATTAAATATATATATTTTTTAAATCAGGTTTTGGTGAACATTTGGTTCACTGGTTTGCTAGTTTATTATTATTTAAACAACCAATAAGCTGAAGACTATGAAACTACTAACTAACTTCCAATTTTATCGCGACTTTGTTTGCGTTAAAATTAGTTTTTTTAGAATCCCAAGGAGCCACTTCCTCCTATCTAGAATTTGTAAATAATGAGCGTTTTTACTTATGTAATATTTTTAAGGTTTCGCTCGCAGACCACTTCGGTTGATTACAGGCAGTGGCGGCGCTAGGCGTCGGCCACTGCCGACGGCCTCGCGCCTGAGGGGGCCTCGCAAAAAATTTTTACTTAAATTACCTATTTATTTTCGTTTCTCCTGGCCTGGCTTAGGTAGCCGACCCCGAACAATTCGGGGAAAAAGCTAATCAGATGATAATGACTTTTATAATTTTCGAACACGTGCGTGATGGAAGCGAGTAGTACTTTACGGGTATACAGAATCGTCTGTCTTTCAACACTATTTTTGTAATTAAATTTCTATGTTTGTAATTATTTTTTGTCATCATTTGATTATCAACAATAAAACTCGTTTACTCATACGTTATTTTATAATTTGGCTCAGTTAATTTAACGGTTTTTTACTGCGAAGTAAAATAGGCCTCGCGAACTTGATGTCGTTGACGTCCACATGTGGTCTAGCGCCGCCACTGATTACAGGGACCACCACTGGTCCGCGTACTACCGGTAAAGAACCACTGAATCTGGATAATAAACTATACAGGGCGTCCCACGGCTACCTCACACGGAGGGAAAGTATGTTAAATATTGAAGATAGGATATTTTTCTGAAAGAAGACATCTTTTTATTTTTAATAATAAATAGAACTGCATTCACAGATTTTTTTAAAATCGCCTGCTATAACTGGGAATCAAACTCGTGAGATTTCGAAAAAAACAACAACATATTTTATGATGACCATCGAAAGGGTTGATCATAAGGATTATTTTTTGCTAAATAACATACAGTTCTGCCTCGCTCGCTCGATTAAATGTTATGATGTGTGCGTGTGTGAGGATCATATTCTATTTGATACTAGTATGAGCGTACTGTATCTTCCCTTTTTGTTTTAATCTAAGGCTGGGACCTCTAGATTAGTAGTATTAAACGCTGGCTCGTATTCATGTGCAGGCTCGAGCCAAAGACGAAAGTATTCGCGGCAACATGCGCCAGTACGGCACCGAGTGCCGCTACCTCGACGCTGTAGTGAGCGATTTCTCGCTGCCCATGTGGAGACAGGGTGTGCAGTTTGACGCCATCATCACTGACCGTAAGAAGCAACTTATTATTATTTAAATAACCTCTGAAAAATAAAATAAAGCCTCTTTAAAGTAAACGTATGTTATTTTAATAATTGAGAAAAGTAAAAAAAAGTCTTTTTTGTTTAATAAATATTTTCAACACAACGCCAATTAGCCTAGCCCCAATGTAAGCACTGTAGGCTTATGTTATGGGATACTAGGGTAACCGATACAATATATAATAATATATACCGATTCATATATAAGTATATTTAATTAGAAAAATATATTAAACATCCATGACTGAAGTACGAATGCTCGTATTCATCACACAAACATCTGCCCCCACCCGGATTCGAACCCGGGACCTCTCGAGTAGGCGACACATTGAAACCCGGCGTACAAACCACTCGGCCACGGAGCATTACAGGCTTTTTCTTGATCGTTTGATGAACCTTTACCGGCAGAGAGCCTGTTGTATATTAGCATAGCTAGGGGGCTTCTTTAAGGGCTATCTGACTATGGTTTTACTTGTTTGCTTTCCTTTATTAAAAGTTGCTTTGTGTTGCCAACCTCAAGTAGACATTACATGAAATACATTTATTAATTTAGTTTTGGCTCCCAAACTCTGACGTGCTTTATCTAACTGACGGACCCCATAGAATTTCATTCCTTTACGCTCATCACAACTTCATCGTCATCTTTCCTATTACTACTTCATATTATAGATATATTTTTTAATATGCTACTAGCTATGATTTTATTTATTTTTTAAGCATTTCACTGCTAGATGTTTAAATCTAAAGAAAAGTTTACTAGAAAAAAGAAAAGTTTTTCTAGTAAACTTTTCTTTAGATTTAAACATCTAGCAGTTAAATGCTTAAAAAAAAAAAATCATAACTATAATTGCTATTTCTTCTTTCAAATGTTTAATACTTGAAAAAGTGTGGGTTACCTACAATGCGAAGAGATGGTGCTACCTTGCAGCTTAAGGCTAGGAAAATTTCGACGCGGCCATCAGGGCCGTGGTAGCATAATTGGTCAGTGCATTCGCCCGGATTGCGAAGGGTGCGGGTTCGAGTCCCATCCGCTGCCTGGTCCGCGTGGATTTTTTTCTAGTAAAACTTTTCTTTAGGTTTAAACATCTAGTTGTTAAATGCTTAAAAAAAAAATGGATGCGTGTAACAGCTTATGTACGCGCGTGAGAAGTTATACTTCTTTAGCATCATTAAAATATTTTTTAATTGCATGCAAATAATTAATAATATTTTAATAATTACAATAAAATAATAAGAGGACTGGAAAAGGATAGTTAACACAGTCAATTAAGTTCAGTTTTAATTTGAAAAATTAAATAAATATTCAAAACTGAATTTAAGTTATTAGTCCATATGTAATTAGCACTTGTAAGTAACTATAACACGTTGTGTTCTTGACCTTCACAAGTGCTTGTAACAGCCTAGACTGAATAAATGTCATTTCATTTCATTTCAATGTCCCGTTCAAATCTGCCCTGTTTGCTTTGTTCAAATCTGCCCCACGGTCACTTGGAAAATAAAATATTACAAATAACGCGCCCGCGGCTAACTTCATTATGTCAAAATTTTGTGTTACAGTGATGAAAATTTCACTCTCATAATTTTTTCATAACGCGGCTAAAGAAGTATAACTTCAAAAACATAACACATTTATTAATTTAGTGTTGGCTCCTAAATTTTGACGTGCTTTATCTAACTGACGGACTCAATAGAATTTTGGTTCCTTTTAAATTTAAAAAAAATTGTTATGAAAAATCTTCTTTCAAATGTTTAATACTTGTAAAGGTATTCATTTGAGATTGTGGATTACCTACAATGCGAAAAAATGGCGCTGCCTTGCAGCTTAAGAAAGGTTAGAAAGAACACGACACGGCCATTAGGGCCGCGGTTGCATAATAGTCAGTGCATTCGCCCGGATAGCGGTGCGGGTTCGAGTCCCGTCTGCTGCCTGGTCCGCGTGGATTTTTTTTCATATTATGTTTATACCAGCACCGTATGGAGTCCGCGAACCGACAGAGAAGATAGGTATAGAAAAAGACAACTATACCCTCTCGGTGCAGCACCTGGTGAATCACATCCCGTCCAAAGTGGAGTACGGGCTGCCGCAGTTGTACGGAGACTTATTGGAGTTCGCAGCCAAGCATCTGAGGAAAGGGAAGCGGCTGGTCTGCTGGTATCCCATGGTTAGGTAAATATGTTCATATATTTTTATCCTACACATTAAGCAAATAACTTTTTCCACTCACACCAATTAGCCTAGCCCCAAAGTAAGCACAGAGAGGCTTGTGTTATGGGATACAAAGGGTAACGGATAGAATACATACGGATATAACGACCTCCGTGACCGAGTGGTTTGTACGCCGTGTTTCATGGTGTCGCCGACTCGAGAGGTCCTGGGTTCGAATCCCGGTGGGGGCAGATGTTTGTGTGATGAATACGAACATTTGTACTCCAGTCATGGATGTTTAATATGTATTTCTATAAAAATATACTTATATATGTACAGTATATGTATTCTATCCGTTACCCTAGTATCCCATAACACAAGCCTTATAGTGCTTACTTTGGGGTTAGGCTAATTGGTGTGAGTGTTGGAAATATTTATTTATTTACATATACTGATACATACATAAGTATATTTATTGTAAAAATATTTACATATAAAAATCCATACCATCCAGACTTTTTGAAGATATCTGGGACGACGAGCATTTAAGATTTAAGTACAAATGCTCGGCATCCCAAATATTCTTCTCACTCCCCCGGCGGTTAAAGGATGCGTAAGGCATTTTCCGGCCTTAAAAAAGGTACTATTTGTTCGTATTCATCATTAGCCTTTGCTCTACTGGGATTCGAACCCGGGAGTTCAAGGTGCCCTTGAAACCTGGCGTAGACACCTCTCGGCCATGGATGTCGTCAACCAGTAGTTCCTAACTTGATTGATGGGTCACGGCTTCTTGTTCCTATTCCAACTGTAGTTAGGGCCTGTGTCCCAGCAATGGGGTCATTAATATGATGATAATGCAAGTTTTGTGTCAGGGATAAGTACGATCCCTAAGATCTTCCGTCTCACTCGATCCTCGAACTGGTGACTAATTCTTATTAGTGGGTCGACATTCGTTCTCCCTATTCTGTCTATAGTTCAGGTCTGTGTCCCAGCAGTGGGCCCATTAATATGATGATGACGCAAGTTTTGTTTCAGGGATGAGTAAGATACCGTAGATCTTCCGTCTCACCCATGCCTCGAACTGTTGGCTTATTCTAATTAGTGGGTCACCTTTAAAACCTGGCGTAGACACCTCTCAGCCACGAAGGTCGTCCGTCAATCATTAGTTCCTAATTTTGATTGATGGGTCACGGCTTGTTGTTCCTATTCCATCTATAGTTCAGGCCTGTGTCCCAGCAGTGGGGTCATTAATATTATGATAACACAAGTTTTGTTTTAGGGATGAGTACGATCCCTTAGATCTTCCATCTCACCCATATGCCTCGAACTGGTGACTTATTCTTATTAGTGGGTCACCTTTAAAACCTGGCGTAGACACCTCTCGGCCACGGAGGTCATCAATCATTAGTTCCTAATTTTGATTGATGGGTCACGGCTTGTTGTTCCTATTACATCTATAGTTCAGGCCTGTGTACCAGTAGTGAGGTCATTAATATGATGATAACGCAAGTTTTGTTTCAGAGATGAGTACGATCCCTTAGATCTTCCATCTCACCCATGCCTCGAACTGTTGGCTTATTCTAATTAGAGGGTCACCTTGAAACCTGGCGTAGACACCTCTCGGCCGCGCAGGTCGTAAATCATTAGTTCTAATTTTGATTGATGGGTCACGGCTTGTTGTTCCTATTCCATCTATAGTTCAGGCCTGTGTCCCAGCAGTGGGGTTATTAATATTATGATAACACAAGTTTTGTTTTAGGGATGAGTACGATCCCTTAGATCTTCCATCTCAACTATGCCTCGAACTGGTAACTTATTCTTATTAGTGGGTCACCTTTAGTCACCATTGGGTCACGGCTTGTTGTTCCTATTCCATCTATAGTTCAGGCCTGTGTCCCAGCAGTGGGGCAGTGGGGCCATTAATATGATGATAACGCAAGTTTTGTTTCAGGGATGAGTACGATCCCCTAGATCTTCCGTCCCACCCGTGCCTCGAACTGGTGGCTAATTCGGAACAACCTCTCTCTCGCCTCACGTGCCGTAGACTGCTGACGTACGAGAAACGACATGATTATATCGACGCGCAACCCGATGCTAACGCCGGCACGCATAACTTTAGGTAAATATTTATTTATTTGTATCACATTGTTCATGTACATTATTTATTATAAGGTCTTAAATACTTAATAGTGAGTGGTACATGACCCCGTTGGGGTGTTGCAACAAACTTGAGCTTAACATTAATTTCACTTAATTGTTGATCATTTATATATTTCTAACTCTCACGCCAATTAGCCTAGCCTCAAAGTTAACACTTTTACCCTTACGCTGCACTGCGTAAGGCTCATATTAGAATGAACAGCACCACTCGACTTAAGCGGAAGCGCTAGGTAAATTGATTTTCAGTATATTCTTGGTTTTAGTTCGAGAGCGTCTTGTGACAATACGATTACGGATCTGTAAAAAATCGGTAATTACGACTGCGATCGTTGAAGTTAAGCAACTTTTGCAGTGGTCGGTCATTGGATGGGGGACCAAAAATTTATAGGCACGTTTAGCCGTTGGTTCCGGTTGCATCTGCAGTCGTTAGCACCCACCAATCCGCACTGGGCCTAGGTAGTGGGTCATGGTTCAATCTCCCTAATCCATCCATAGGGAAGGTCTGTGCCCCAACAGTGGGGACTATTGATAGGCTGTGATGATGACGATGATTGATATGCTCGTCGCTACACACGCACACATATATTGCTTTAGTAAAATTTGATGTTAGAGCCAGAAACATGAGCAGTTGTCTTTGCGTGATGTAATTGGATTAGGGTGAAGCCAAACGAGCGTAATTTGTGAGTTGTGAGTCGCTTATTTTCGGCCACTTATTTTACGTTCAACTGAATTTCTGTTGAGCTGCCATACGAACGTAATTTATTTAATTACTATTGAGCGTTAGTACGGGGTGTTCGTGTCGTTGAATGCAATGGATCCATTAAAAATATTGTGTATTTACGAAGCATATTCAGAAGATGAGGCCAGAAAAAGAAACTGGGTAAACCCACTGAATAGTCAGAGGCTGATATGTGGACAGTTTCATACTTTATATGAACGTTTATGTGCAAAATATGTTTGAAAAGTATTATCATATGCCATTACGTGTTTTTCAAGAATTATTACACCACGCAACTTGTAACAAACTGTTGCTTCCCCACTCCCCTTCCTTGCCCTACCCTCACCCCGACCGAAATTCGGACGAGCTTATGCGCATTGAGTCGGCAGACAGCTCATTTTGCGTTGTCGTGTGGCACCAACTGCCTTTTTGTATGAAACCGAATGCAGCAGAATTTCTGCGACCGAAATTCTGCGACTCACAAAATTACGCTCGTTTGGCCTCACCCTTACCCTGTCTAGGCTCGAGGACCTAGAACTTGGGGAAGAGAACAGGGAATATAAAAAAACGAGTGTGCTTATGACCACACGACTGAAGTGAAACTTCTTTAGCTTCATCTGTATGTGTATACAGTAAAACCCCGTTTAAGACGACTTCACAGGTACACAACCAACAACGCGTCTTAAGCGGGAAAGCGGCATAGGGAAATTTCGAATGTAGGTATTGAGGTAAAATGTAGTGTATTATGATTACGTTATTTAAATTAATCACTTATTTTAGTTTGACAAAAAGATTTTGAGGTATTACAATCACAAGATTTTCGACATAATTTAACTTTTGCAGTGCGTCTTCGCTTTGATTCAAAGAAGTTTTTAGCGTCTTAAATCATAACTGCTGAAAAGCTTGGGCGTGTGACAAAATCGCAGTTGACTCATCTTCTTCTTGATCATTATCACTTAGGGCCTCTTGTGTGTTATTCACATTCTCAATAAGATTTTCAATTGATTGAATTTCGTACGATGCCACATTGGGTGTTGGCGATTCAGTCGTATTAAACGGGATGACGAATCGTATTAAGCGTGAAGAAATGTATGAAAACATGTCCCAAGTTGCAGGGACTGACGCAAAATGGCGTGATCCTCCGTGTGATCGTATTAAACGGGTTCTACTGTATATATATGTGTGTACAATATATACATATACATATTTCATTTACTAGCTATAAGACAAAGAGAGAAAGAAAATGTGCGCGCGCACTGCTTTCTCTTGCTCATATCCTCCATTCAACGCCCGTTCGCCTCGTCCGTTCACACCTTTCGTAACGCTTTCGCCAGCTTACTCCCCAAGTCAAGCGTGCGTAAAGAAGTTTCACTTAATGTAAATTTGTTACAGAGAAAAGTATTTCGCTTTGGGAGAAATCACACGACGAGAGAAGAAAGAGAGGCGAGCCGAGGAAATGGCTCGAGCCGCGTTCTATAAATCGAAAAACGGTGTTACGTGACTGATAATACCTTTATTAACAGAAATATACAATAATTGTTCTATTTATTCTAATGCCACCACTTCGCATGGCTATTCGTGTTTGCTATTTGTCACTTCGACAGTAGGTAGTCCCTATACTATTACCATAGAGGTATAAGAATAGAGTAGGGGAGATATAGACTCTACTACAAGTGGAAGTGTCAATCTAATAAGTTAAGGTCAAGTTTATAAACATCAAATACGTACGAATAGCCACGTGAAGTTGTAGCATAAGGAAAACAAGATAATAAGTGCTACATATAGAAATACGAATCGTAAAACATAATGCCCAGAGGCCGTATTATGAACTGTGAACAGAAAAGTTATGTTAGAGCGAGACAAACATACATACGGTAGAGCAGCGTCCTGCTTCAACTGTTTCTGTCTGGCGTTTAAAGCTCATAATACGGACCCGAGCTAAAATAAATGCTCTTTTTAACATGTATGTACTTATATAATAACAATAAATAAACGTGTACGGAGTAATTATTTTGGAAATACACGGTACAAAGGTAACAAAAAAGTTTTTTTTTTAAACCTGTACCCCTTTATTAATGAACGAAAACTAAGCTCGGATTAGTTACTCCATAATGTGTCTGTGTTCATTGAATGACAAATGCCATTTGAGTGACATGAATAAAACATGGCGTAACTTGCCTAAGTTTATTCCTTGTTTATTAATAAGGGGATAACAGTGTATCCTTGTCATTTTCTATACAGAATAAAAAGGAGAGACTGATGTTGAATTTAATTTGAATTTTAGGAAACGATTCCAGCCAGAATTAACATCATTCTATGGATTAATTAAAATGTTCTTTCGATTAGTTCGCGTCAAAAACTTCATACATCACGTCACAGTGGCACCAACTGCTTCCTTTAATGTTCCTTAACACCCTTACTGTAAGAATCGTATACTGCAAAAGTGACGTCATATGTTAATTTTTGGTGTTAGTATATTTTATTTATTTAATCTTTTTACACTGCAAACGGCGACTTAATGCCAATATGGCATTCTCTACCAGTCAACCGGAGAGAACATACAGAGCTAAAAACACGGCTATATTTTTATAATTGCTATATTTCTACTCAGTGATGGCTAGATTGAGTAGCATTTTGGTGAGTTTTATTTTCTTTGTGGCGGTGCGTTTAGCCGCCTTGGTCTGCGTCCATTGGCTGAGTTTCCAAGCTTCCTTGCGCTTGGCACTGTTCCCCGAAGACTTGTAGTGGTTCAATAGATTCGTCGTTGTCTGAGAAGAAAGATTCAATCAATCAATCAATTATTTATTTGCAAAAACAGGTGATACAAAGGTGTTAAATTATAAATATGTTAGAAGCTTATTCCATATTTCACCACAAGGCATGCAAATTAAAATAAACAAATAGGTACATCCATTTACAAAGATTTGTCCTTTAAAAATAGGGTATTTGACAGTATTAAAAATAAAGTGCCAATTGTTAGCATCTGTGTTTAGAATGAATATTGGCAGGGGATTTTACTATTTTTACAAAAAAAATATTCATAATTTTACTAAAAACTCACGAAAAAGATAATAGTTTTCTTATCTATTGTCACGTGACCCAAAACGCTTGGGGATTGGCGGAGCCTAAAATGACGTCACACGCAAGTAAACTTCCGGTGAAAGTGACACAGTCGTGTGACGTCACACACCAGTAAGACGCCATATTGTCCAGAGAAACGTTTACGCGGCAACTTGAAAATGGGAGTTTTTGATTTGGTTATTTTTACTGAAATACACAATAGAATGATGAATATCCTTTTTACGGATTCCATAAACGTTAGTCAATAACGTGAGATCGTTTTCTAAAACTTGTCAAATACCCTATTCCTTAATACTATAATACGCCTTTTAAGTAATATATTCTTTAATTTAGAACAAAATAATATTGGGGCTTTCAGCTTTTCTAATTTCAGGTGGAATTTTATTATATATACCTGAGGTGCCATAGAAAGTACACCATTATTCATAAGCCATGTCCTGTTAGATGGTAAACTAAGTCTGGTTTCGAATCTTCTACTATTATAAGTAACATATAAATATTTGTTTCTTAGGTTTTCACGCACATCACTCATTAAATAAAACTAGTTTTTACGGGTTAATGCACGAAACTTTATTTATTTATGACGTTTCGCAGCCTTTTCAGGTCATGCAGACCTATAATAATGATAAAAAATCATAATTCTTAAAAGTTTCGTGCATTAACCCGTAAAAACTAGTTTTATTTATTTATGACGTTTCGCAGCCTTTTCAGGTCTGCATCGTCAGAATAATGATTTTTTATCATTATTATTATTATCATTATTAAGGCTGCGAAACGTCATAAATAAATAAAGTTTCGTGCATTAACCCCTAAAAACTAGTTTTATTTAACATATAAATGTAAATTTGCTCTAACAAAAACTGCAATTTCATAAATGTGTACACGTCAATGTGAAAAGTTTAAATGATATAAATGCGGTTTACAACTGTCAGTTTGCTTAATTTTACAAATAGCCCTTAAAATTTTTTTTTTGAGCTTTAAATGCATATATTCTTTGTCAACTTAGTTCCCCAAAATATCACTCCATACCGTAACGTAGATGCTAAATTCGCATGATACGCTATTAATACTGTTGATATATGGATCACATTACCGAGCACGTATAGAACATAGGAGAATTTACTGAGTTTATAACACAAACACTCACAATATCACGGTTCCCAACTTAGGGGTTTTGCCCCCAGACTTAGGGGCTAGAAATGTTAAAGCGGACTTTTTAAGGGGCTGGAATTTTTTGGGGGTTCTTTTAGGGGCTTTTATCAACACTTGCAATTAAATCGAAAAACAAAGCGTGTGTTTTCTTTCAGTTTTGTGCGTAGAATGGAACGCACCACGATATGAAACGACTAAACTGACTGTATGGCTTGTTTCCTAAGGCTGTATGGACTTAAGTTAAAAAAGAGGTAAATAAGATTTAACAGCCTGTCAGCTTATTTTAGTTTGATTGTCCTTTCGGAAATTGTATTTATTCAATAAAATAATTTATTGTAACTAAATATGTAACGTTTTAATTTATGAGCAACGCAAGAATTTGGGTAATAAGTAGGTACTTAAAAAAAATGTATATTTAGGGGATTTTAGGGGAAAATTTTGGTAAGGGTTGGTAACACTGCACAATATGCGCTTTCCTGTTAAGGTTACAATCAACAGTTATACCTAAAAAACTTTAAGTCCACTTCCTTAACGCTATTTCCACAATGATTTTTGAAACAGATTGAAACTGTACTTCACTACTAGTTACCTTAGAATAATCTTTACTAATTAGAAATAATATGGAATACAACTGCGCTAAAAAGTGGTTTCACGCAAACTGCGATCATGTGGGCGGGGCGCAAAAACTGCCATCAATACGTCGATCATGTGATTGGTTGTGATTTCCAGGTAAATTTATCTTACCTAAATGAACTACCCGAAATAATTTGCAGATATTTGATTTGTCAAAATATTTTGTTTCATATGTGTGCGTGTCGTGTTAGTATTGACCATGTTTGGCCAAGGCCGCTAGGCCTTTGTTACAGAGTAATGCTTCCATATAATTTCTAATTCTTTGTTGACATAGTATAAAACACAGTAGCCCCCGCTGCCTGTACGCCTAGATCTTTTGAACGGATTTTTATACAGTTTTCAGCAATAGATAGTAATTAAAGAGGATGGTTTAGGCTACGAACTCACGGCGCGTTTATCTCCCGCTGCTTCAGGACCGTAACTTGCGTACAATGTGATATTGTACGTAATCCCGGCATTTCACTTGGCTATACGCATTTTATATTTGTTAATTTGACAAGTCTGTCCTTATCATGCTTTAGAAGGAATAAAGAGGACAGACTAATGTCAAGAGTACAAATAGCGAACACGAATAGCCAAGTGGGGTCACGGTACAAGTCTTTTGCTTTAGCAGAGCAGCTTATTATAATGACTTAATGTGAAAATTTAAAATTAAATTTAAGAATTTAAAAAACTTATGTGGCTACAACCCTCCGTTTGCAAATCGTAAGTGGCCTGGGTGCCAGATATTAAAATAGGAGCCCCCACTCCTTTGTTGCCCCGGGGTCGTTGAGGCATTTTATATTCAGTAGGTCTGAGAATCGGCTACTATATATTTTTCATACCCCTAAGTGATAAGGGTTTCCCACCCCTATCATTAATTTTATTTTCTGGACACATTTTTTTTCTTTTATGTTTTAATGAAGTGGCATTAAAAATACATACAACCCTAAATTATCACAGTTCTATCACCAACCCCTATTTTTAAAGAAATTCCCTAGAAATAATTAAATAATTTATATGGCACAAGTAGTCTAGCCCCAAAGTAAGTACTGTAGGCTTGTGTTATGGGATACTAGGGTAACGGAAAGTATTATTATGTAGAAACGCTTATAAAATTCCATGACTGGAGTACAAATGCTCGTGTTCATCACACAAACATCTGCGCCCACCGGGATTCGAACCCGGGAGCTCTCGAGTAGGCGAAACCTTGAACCCTGGCGTACAAACCACTTACCAGGAACAATCCCAGAGTGGCCCTCATGTTCTCCGGATTTAGCTTCAACGCTTGGCAGTAATATGATTTCGCAAGTTCCATATTTTCAACACCGCCCTGCAAAATAATGACGAACGTTAAATAGAATAGAACAATTGAATTAAAGCCTTTAACATACTGACGCAGTGAAACGTGGTAATTTGACGTACACATCACCAGCCTATTAATGTCCCCACTGCTGGGGCACAGGCCTTCCTTATGGATGTAATAGGGATATTGGGCCCTGACCCGCGGGCCCAGTGCGGATTGGTGGATGCTAGTGACTGCAGATGCAACCGGGACCAACGGCTTAACGTGCCTTCCGAAGCACGGAAGAGCTCGAGATAGTAAATTTTTGGTCACCCAACCAATGACCGACCACTGCGAAAGTTGCTTAAACGATCGCAGCCGAACGCGCTAACCACTTGCGCCATCGAGCTCCTCATGTCGTACACTATTAATTTATATTGCGTACTAGTGGCCCGCCCTCGCTTCGCTTCGGTGTAGAGCTGTAGTGTAAACTATAGTTTTTGTTCTCAGGCTTGTGCTATAAAGAATGACTTTATTTATATAATTACACGTGTTATTGTGAGTCAACCATAAAAGATAGACATATGCTGTTGCGGGATATTTTTTAGACAATTTTATGTAGAATATTTCCGTCATACATGATTTCTATGTAACTTTAACCATTAAGGCTGCACCCGCGACGGAAGCTTAAAAAATGGAGTAACTTCTCCCGTTTTCCCAACATTTCCCTTCACTACTCTGCTGCTATTGATTGTAGCATGATGAAAAGTATACTATAACCTGCCCAGGAGTATGAAGAATAATTGTACCAAGTTTCGTTAAAATCCGTTGAGTAGTTTTTGTTTCTATAAGGAACATACACACAGTCTGTCTGTGTTATAATAATTTTTTTTAATTTACTGATTGCATTTTTGGCATCAGTATCGATCACTAATCACCCCCTGATAGTTATTTTAAAAATATATTTCATGTACAAAATTGACATCTCTACAGATTTATTAAAAGTATAGATATTGGCATTTCGTTCCACCTGTTTTTAAATTCCTATAATTGCATCTTTATTGACGCATTGCTGTTTCGCCGCCACGAAAGATGCAATTGTAGGAAACTCATCAAGTAGCAACATTTACGTCAGCAACACGTTGGTAGTGTAAATGGCAATGCGGTTGGTGATGTAGCATCTCCTCTGCACAGAATACGTCGCGCTGTAACCCCCCCACTTTTAGCTGACAAGAGGAATGGGCGCAAGAAATGGTGCAGCGTATGTCAGCGACCCGTTGATGGTGGAAATGGCAATGTTTGCTGCGTCTGGGTTAGGTTGAACAAATTTTTTCACAAAATATCCTATATTGCTAAAGTGGTGCCTAAGAATAATGGGCACTAGAAAAATATCAGCATTTAACAGAAGTAAAACTTACCATGGTGTAGCAGATGTCAACGACCCTTTGATGGTGGAAATGGTAATGTTTGCTGGGTCTGGGTTAGGTTGAGGAATTTTCACAAAAGATCCTATACTGCTAAAGTGGTGCCTAAGAACAAAAGGCACTAGAAAATCATCAGCATTTAACAGAAGTAAAACTTACCATGGTGTAGCGTATGTCAGCGGCACGTTGGTGGTGAAAATGGCAATGTTTGGTGCGTTAGGTTGTGTTAATTTTTTTACAAAAGATCCTATATTGTTAAAGTGGTGCCGAAGAACAAAGGGCACTAGAAAATTATCAGCATTTAACAGAAGTAACACTTACCATTGTCTAGCGTATGTCAGCGACCCTTTGATGGTGGAAATGGTAATGTTTGCTGGGTCTGGGTTAGTTTGAGGATTGTTTCACAAAAGATCTTATAATGCTAAAGTGGTACCTAAGAAGAATGGACACTAGAAAATCATCAACATTTAACAGAAGTAACACTTACCATTGTGTAGCGTATGTCAGCGTCACGTTGGTGGTGGAAATGGCAATGTTTGCTGCGTTAGGTTGTGTTAATTTTTTCACAAAATATCCTATATTGCTAAAGTGGTACCTAAGAACAAAGGGTGCTAGAAAATCATCAGCATTTAACAGAAGTAACACTTCTCAGGGCCGCAGTAGCATAATTAGTCAGTGCATTCGCCCGGATTGCGAAGGGTGCGGGTTCGGGTCCCGTCTGCTGCCTGGTCCGCGTGGATTTTTTTCTAGTCATATTTTCTTTAGGTTTAAACATCAAGCAGTTACATGGTTTAAAAAAAATAAAAATTAGAAGTAACACTTACCATGGTGTAGCGTATGTCAGCGACACGTTGATGATGGAAATGGCAATGCGGTTGGTGAAGTAGCATCTCCTCCGCACAGAATACGGCGCGCTGTAACTCCCCCACGCTGAGGTAAAGCTCGCAAAGCTGCTGCCACCCCTCCACGTCTGACATGAACCTACGTAAAACAACAAATATCTTAGGTAAAAAATAAATTAGGTCTAAACATTTGCGTCACTAAAAAGGCAGTCCACTCAGCATGTGTCGGTTGTCGTAGACTGTCCGACGCTGGTCTTCCGTGGTAACCTTGAAAAGTAGGGACGACAGTACGAATAGCCAAGGTAGAAAATTTAATTAAATGAATTATTAAATGTTTTATGCTTAAAATATTCGGTACTAGGAAGTTGCTGACTATAAAACCTACTACAGTAGAATCCGTTTATTATGACTCCGCCTTTATTGACCAACCGCCTATTATGACGTAATTACACAACGAAGTTTGGTTTTCATGTAAAATTCATTGTAACAATGTCGGATATAATGACTTCGCTTACAGTGACATGTCGCTTATTATGACCCATTTTTAATCAATTTTGCGCGTTTATAGTGACCGACATGCTACTTTACACCTACGGTAATGTTCGTTGATTCAAATTGAACATCAAGCATTGTTTTTAGTGATATGCGATGTAAAAAAATGTCATCTCAACGTCGTAAAGCATTTACCATTGAGGAAAAAGGTGCAAAGCATATTATTATGCTGATTAGAAAATGGAGAATCAAACTCATATCACAATCAAAAAAGTTTCACAAAAATGCTTTGTATGACGTGTTTGTCGATTCCCTTCGAAGTCATAATAAACGGATTGCACTGTACATACACATTATATGAAATTATTACACAAGAATGTAAATTGTAAATTAGCACGGCAATCAACGAAAAACACAGCAGTTTCCTCGAGTTGTAACTTCGTTTTTCTGTAATTCTAGCAGATATCTTTTAAAATTACGTTTAAAAGTTACGATACTAAAACAGCTTTTCAAAGGAGGAGGTAAATAATAAATAAACATTCAATCGGGCGAGCGAGACAGAACTGTACGTTTCAACGCGGCACGAGCGAAATGGCGAGTACACACAGTAGGAGCTGTATTTTTGTCCTTTTCTTGATAAAAAAATGGCGATTACGTAAATAACATTTACGACAAACCGTGATTTTTGAGAAAAAAATGTTTTTATAGTTTTATGAATGAAAAGTGTTGCTGAGTCATTTGTTATATGATTTTAAACTATTTGTGTTCTTTTTATAACCATCGAGTTTTTTTTATCTGTATAATACAGAATATACCCATATTGTTATATGTGTGCACTCAGCACATGCAGCGTGTTTGAATGTCCAATTGTGACTATTATGGCCATGCACCACAATTTGAGCGGATCATTTATGAGCCGCGAATGCCGTATCTTCCCTTTTTGTTTTAATCTAAGACAAATATATATAAGCGAGTGTGCTTATGACCACAAGACTGAAGTGAAACTTCTTTAGCTCCAATGATCTGAAAATCATAAACTTAACCTGAGGGTTTTTTGATAGAAAAAAAAAACCACCAATCCGCGCTGGGTCCGTTATTACCCACCAATCCGCGCTGGATCCGTTATCACCCACCAATCCGTACTGGGACCGTTATCACCCACCAAGCACTAGATTCATGTATTTTGTGACGGGTATTGTTCATTGTTTACCGATGAGTCACCGATTACACTAATCGTAACGCGAAATCGTAACACATTCGCCAGTTTACCCCCCAAGTCAAGCGTGCCTAAAGAAGTTTCACTTTAAAAACTATATCGTTTATTCGGTCTAGGTTTTACGTTAGCGTTTATTAAGATCGATCGGTTCGCTAATCTACGGCGGGCGGGAGACCTTGTTACTAGGAAAAACCGGTAAGAAACTCAGCAGGGGATTGATTCTGAGACTCAAGTACAAACTTTGGCAGATCCGTAATATCGTCATCAGTCATATCATCAGTTTGCTCTTACGTCCGGTAGGGGCGCTGCGTAGTCTTCATAGGAACTTACGATGCGATTCGATTACAGAGCTGTCAAATCGTCTTAATATTACTTACTCCAATCGTATTTCTTACTGACAAAGTTCATGTTACTAAAACCACTGCAGGATCTAGGGAAGGACATCCACAAACGGGGGGCCCCCACAATAGAGACTTCGGAAAAAAAATCTTTCAAATTCCAACTAGTAAACATCTTTTCCTTTGATATTTTTTTTTGCTCATTTACCTTTACCTACAGTACTTTGTACATCTAACATATTTGATTATATTAATCTCAGGGCCGAATTAAAGGCAGGGCAGGTGGGGCTGTGGCCCAGGGGCCTCCACATGAGCTTAAGAAAACTGACAAAATTTCGATGGGTCAACAAGCATGCAAATCCTAAGTGGCCCGGGGCCTCCACAATCCTAAATCCGGCCCTGACTAAAACGGAAACAAGAGATTTGTACGCCATTTTAGGTGTCTAGAATTTTTCACTAATTAAAACTTGATTTCAGAAACTTTAGGTGATTATATTCGAAGCTGTCATACTTGCTACCTTCTATTTGGGCTTTCAACAGATTTGAAGGGCAAATATAAACACTCAAAATGACATAACAATAAAATACATTTATCTCTTTCGCTTTTGCCTTAAAACCTGAGAAAGAGTGACAATGTGAAACCAAAAGAGATCTATATCTCAATTAAGAAAGATATTTTGTTAAATTTACACGCGAAAACAAAACTAGGTGCAGTACAGTACATATCCGAAAATGCTCACTTTTTCAAATAGTCCACTAGCTCTTTGATAGCTTCTGTGATTTGACCCTGGGCTTTGAATATGGCGATTCGTCGTTTTCTCGCCGGCGCGTTTGTCTCGTCTGCTTTTATAATATAGTCCAGTATTTCTAGAGCTTCATCGTACCTGTGGGCATGATGTTTTGTTATAAAGTTGCCAATTGGTCAAAATTAGACCATTTTCAAGTTTCAAAGGTCTAATTTAGGCCATTTGTATTAATTAAGAAGTAGAAATAAATTAAACACAACAAAACCATTCTGTATGTTACATAACAAGAAATACCCAAAGTAAATATAATTGAAAAGAGTCGGCTTAAGCTATTTGAAAAAATATGTGAATTAAGAAAATTAATATAGAAATTTAGCATATTCTATTTGAGTTTCTAAATGTTTTTAAAAATAAACTACATTACTGGGTAAAATAAAAATACCTTCATATAATCAAGAGTTGATTACAAATTCTAAACACATTTGATGAATTTTCCTATCAATAACCTGAATGAGATTGTGAACATACCTAGGGTGTGTCATATATTTATATAGGTATACAAACTCTCTACTCTACTAAATTGCAGATTGCCAACTGCAATTTAAATGATCTTTAATCTTAATATTGTAAGAAAATTGTGTGGTAAAACATAGAGATAAATATTCACTATAACAGTACAACCTAATAATTGAAACAATTGATAATTTCATCATCAGAATTTCATAAATAATAGCAACTTCAGTAATACTCACTTTTCTTTAGCTTCACGCACCATTGCCTTATACCTCATGACCCTCATGCTTGCAGGGAACTCTTGTAATAAAAAATCAATTTGAAACTCTGTCAAGAGGTCGTGGACATCCAGAGAGGCAAATATCAGCTGCTCCTTTAACATCAGTCCTGAAAATGTAAAGTAACATTATAATGTAACGTGTGATCTGCAATTGATACTGACACCAAAAATATAGTTTTTAGAAATTTTGTTGTGTGAAAGTCCTATGTTTTTGAAGTAAGAGACTTGAAATTTAACATGGATGCTCTATCGATGGTGTAGAGGTGTACTAATAATGTATCTTTAGAAATAAACCCCCTTATGGGGTCAAAAAGTATGTGCATATAACTAACTCCATGCATACAAAGTCGCGTGCGGCCGCTACTTACTTATATGAGTCAGCTCAAGTGGAGGGTTATAAAGACTTCAAACTGCTCATAAGATGTCTACACTCTATTTATATCCCTATCATAAAGAATAATATTCTTTAAAATTACTAGCATATAATTTGTATTTGCACTTTTGTTCAAGTTTTTATCAGTTGGTCATATCAAATTCTACTTTTGGGAAGTTAAAACTTAACTTTGAGAAAATGCTTATAGGTCAATATTGTTGAATGAGTGTTTGAGGTATTAAAGAATTTTAAAAACTATTTAGTGACTGTTCCTACTTGATACTTGTAAAGATATTCAAATGAAAATTTGTCTTAATGTTCTGTTATAAAATAATATAATTTATTTTGGTTATTCAAGGACATAAATACCTATTAATTTATGTATTTGAAAGTAAAAAGTGAGAAGACAAATAATTTTTCACAAAGTATTAACTTTCATTTTTCTTCAAAACTAGCTGACTGAGCCAAGTGTTTTTTTTTTGAGTCAATCATAGGGGTACCGATATAAAGCACTGAATTCTATATACACTTAACTTATTTGAAATAATGGAGTCAATTCTGGAATCCTTCTCTAAACTTAAAACTAAATTTAAGATCAGTCTGTTCTTTTCATTTTGTATAGTGAATGACAGGGATACACTGTTGTCAAATTTAAGTTTAGCTTTAGAGAATCATGCTAGAATCGATACCAATGGCTAAATAAAACTGCTTTTAACAACAAGCTTTTAACAAGTTATACAGCATGTTTATATAATGTAATTAAAAGTGCTATAACTTGTGGATTTATAAAAGATTTATTTAACTTGTTTATTAAATTATTGGTGTTTGAAAACATAAGAAACAAATACACAATAATCTCAAATTTAAATAACAGATACTTGCTTTCATTAGCACTTATTTTTCCACTGTAAATGTCGTAGAACATGTGGATCATTGCAATTTCATTGCTCTTTCTTTCATTATTCTCTCTCCACTGTCGGAGTAGATCAATTGCTTCTGTAAACAAAATTATGTTTTTTACACACTTGAAAATAAATGTTTTATAGAAAAAATCTACTTCAGATAGGTCTACCTAGGGCTGCCATCCGTCTGGGTTTCCCCAGATTTGTCCTAGTTTACGGGGCGTCCGGGCAAGGTTTTATTTGTAGTCCGGGTTTAAAAATTTACGGCAACGCATGAATGGCGCTTGGTGCTGCAAGTGTCCATGGGCAGCAGTGACCACTTATTATGAGGTAGACCGCTAGCTCTTTTGCCTAGATCAACATAAAAAAGTTGATTTGTGATATTTTTAACTGTTTTTATTGGTCTGTCCGGGTTCTGGGCTCCAAAATCCGGGGTTATCACGCGTCTTATCCTGGTTGCCACATTTTAGAGATGGCAGCCCTAGGTCTACCTAACAGGACCTATCTGTCAGCGAGTTTGTTGGTAGCAATAATACATACAATTTTTTAATATATTAAAGGGTAGGTACGTACCATTTTGAGTGAGCTCTCGAGACACAATTTTATCGAAAAGTGTCATTTTAGTAAAAAAAATCAAACGATGACCTACTTCAATTTTTTACTCAAAATACAATTTTTTTTAAAACACTAAACGAAATGGAAAATGGAAATGTCACAGACTGGGTTGCCAGATTCAATTTCATGATTATGATTTACCCCAAAATGATTTTTAAATTTCCCCAAAATGCTACCTCTTCTAAAAAAAATCTAAACGTTTTGTTACAAAAAATATGTATAAAATTAAATTAAACTTCTTTCAAAATATCAAGTAGGTACTTCTTCAGTCTCATTTTCTTCTCTTATTTATGAATACACATTTTTAGAATTAAATAATACTAGCATTTTTACGGTTGCTTCATTAGGTTCATTATTTAGTGCACCCCCCGTGATATATTAAGACACTTCACTCTCATGATTATGGTCAGCTGTTATCTTTTTACAAGAATTTTTATGAGTTAATACTTTTCCCCAATACTCATCTGCTGTTTTTTTTTGCCATGGTTGAAAATCAAAAGACTAATCAACTAGATTGTTTTGAAATGGTTTTGGATTCTTGCATAATAACCAGGATCTCAGTTAAATAAAAAGGACATTCGGTGTTCTTTATCATATATATTGTTTAGAAGTGCTAGTCCCAAAATTTCCCCATAATAATTCATTTCCCCATCAGTTTGTCCAAAGACTAATTCCCCAAGAGCCAAAATTTTTCCCCAGAATCGTGAAAAAAACCCTAACCTGCTAACCCTGGTCCTGTTCACACATCTACGATCATGGGAAATGTCAAGCGCAGATATGGTGTCGATTTTGTCGATGATTCTCAAAACTTATAACACTTGTGTCATAGAGCATATACCAATAGAGATGGCATAGGCAGGCGAAGCCTCAGGCCCCTTTAGCCAAAGTACGTGGCCACTCTGACCATGTGCGTTATATAAAACTAGTTCATGTGTGACCGCTACAATTTTGGATCGTTCGGAATCGTTCCGTATCGCGAGTCGGAGCTCCCACAATAATGGAAAATGATGTGGTTTTGTCATACACAAACCGATCTGCCACTTAAATCCTGCACTTTGAGTATCTGTTAAATGAGAGTAGCCCTTAGCTCTTCATAGCACACTAACGAAAACATGTAATACTCAAATGAATACATGCGTGCTTTCGCTATGAATGCAACTTCAAAAATTACGTTACGTAAACAAAAACATGCACACACGCGAACAGCTAGGGATAGGACATTAAAAGAATGAATGGCAATTGACTGTTCATTCAAACGCCATTCTTGATGAATGAATGAAATATTTGTTTATAATGAAGTCACAATGTTTAATGTTTAAATATGTATCAGAAACTTTATTTATATCTTTACTACATATGATTTCTATCTATATACACAAAACACTTTTACATAAAATTCAAAGTTTTTGGAGTTTACTCCTTAAGAATCGATTTGCATATATGCAAGGGGCCCGGTATGAGAAAAATGTGAGGAGTGAAATCTATCGATGAATGACCTCGTTACGTTTTTACTGTCTACGCTGTAGCAGCCTTAGTGCTACACCGTAGCATAGTATCGTAGCGTACCTTTATTAAAGCACTTCTGAAATTGACTATTGTAAAAAGTTTAATGTAAAATATTTTGTCGATTAGTTATAATAAATGTATATGAAATGAATAAATATATATTTATATTCAATTCAATTCAATTTATTGCAGTCATGTGGTTACATGGATGGTTACAAGTTACAAAATGCATAAAGTACCTAACATGAACCCTGTCAGGGTATCGCAATATAGATAAAAATTACAAAAGAGAATTTAACAAATAAACAATTATCTATATATGAAGAACCTAATTTTTATTAAACAACTTTTTTTTTCTCAAAGCATGCATAAATTTCATCTGATTTCATTAATTTTATAACTTACTCAATTGATCTTATTTACAGTACTAGTTTAATTTTGTAATTATTATTATGGAAATTCTTTTATAAAATTAAATTTGTCAATAATTTAAATTAATAAATATGTCAATAAAAATAAAATAATATGTCAATAAACATTATTATATGTTTATTTAATTTCATTAATTTGTTAATTTACCCTTTCATACAGAATCAATCTTTTTTTAAGTTAAATAAACTCTTTTTGAGAGTCGGAGCTGACACACACAATTTTTTTTTTGCAAATTATATTGCAAAAAATCTTGCTTTTTGCTGACTGAATTAGTTCTTTTTATCAGATACCCTGCCTACATTTAATACCTTTGATCCCTCTTAATGATGAAAACGCAGTATTTGTCAAAAACACTGACCGAAGCTTATCTTCGTGCTTATCTATTCTTTGTTTATTATTAGGGGGATATCAAATTCATAGACTTCAGTGAATTGAGGTTGTCTGTTTTCCTGAATTTGTTTTCTTCCATGTTTCAAGAAGTCAATAATTTTATTATGTGTGATAAATTAGAAAATACTCAGTGATTCAAGCTTTCAGCATAGATCAATCTCATTCTTTCAACGAGTAGCACTCGTACTAGCATGAGCTTGATCCAAAATAATAATAAAAAAAACGAAATATTTCAGAAATACGTATTGAGCACGTACGTATGGAGATTAATAGCGTAGGTAGTGAGCGTGTTTGACCTGCGATCGTGAAGATTCAGCAACTTTCGCAAAATACTTTGCCTCGCTCCCCACTAAAAATGCCGGAAAATGTTAGACGAGTAAACGGTATGGCATCTCCAGTGGTAATGTTTTAAGATCCATGGACCATCCATTATGGACTTTTGCCTTCCTAATGGCATAATAAAAAACCTAAAGCCTTTTCGTTATACGCATACAATATTTAGCTTAGTTATAGTATTTGTATACAAAAAACTTGTTCTATAGTTGCCACGAAACACGTTGCTATCGACATTTTACTCCGTACATCGGATCGCAACGTTTTGTGTAGTAAAGGAAACAGACGTCTGCAATATGTCTGACTTTATTGAGAATATTTTTAGATTTGTCCTAAGCACCTTTGTGTTATTTGGTTTTTGTTAAAATTGTCGATGATATGGACTACCCATGACATTTTTTTTATCAGGTAATAAATCCTTCTCCCGTCTATTATTATCCCGTTAATTTCTTCCTTGTACAACCTTAATGTACTTTTTTGTCTCAATGGCCTTTATCTTTTGAGTTTTGTTTCTTTTGTCTTTGTTTCCACATTCAACTAAGTTTATAAATTATTGATGTGCGTATAAATTTCTAAATCTAAACAGATTTATTTGGTTTGACAGATCGATAAGAAGATAACTTACAACGAAGTAATGTATTGTTGCGGGCCTTAAGTATTTTGTGCGACTAGAAGATATGCATGTCACGGGCGAATTGCGAATCCGTGGTTCGGAATAAGTGCGCATTTTTATCGAATAAGCAGCTGTAACAGTCGCGTAGTATTGAGTTATTTCACGTCCAGTGACCTGTAAGCTGGAAACATGGAGCAGCTTGTGCAATGCCCTGTGTGCACACTTTATTTACACAATGGCATGAGCTTGGAATCCCATTTGGACACTCATCCCAAAGATCAGGTTATTAAAGCTTTATGCAGTCTTACAAATAAAAGTGGCAGTAGTTATGGAAGTCGAACTTCAACACCTGTACATTCAGACCGCTCTTATAGAAGCAGGTCTCGCACTCCAGCGACAGAGGACAGATGGACCAGTTCTCATCGCAGCAGTGAAAATGACCGATATTGGAGAAGAACTCCCAGCAGAGCATCAAAATCAAGTCAGATGTTTCCAAGTTCTCGTATTGGCACACCAGAGACTAGGATTGGAGAAGTTAATTATGAGAATAACTTGAGTACCCCTGTTTCATATCCACCACCACCATATTCAATAAAAAGTGATAGAAATCAACAAACCTATGCAAATACACCAACATTGTCAGAATTTGATCAGCAGTATGCTTATTACCAAGAACCTCAAGAGGACAGGGAGGTTAAATATTCAAGAAGTGCTGAATACTCTTCTCTAGATAGCAATTGCAGTGTTTTTACTCATACTCTGCCAGTAGCAAGTTCCAGTGTAAAACTACAAACAACTTTAGTGCCTGCTGTCTCAAGAAGGAGCAATGAAAATCTTGTCAAAGTGTTACCTAAACCAAATAATATACTTGTGAAAGCGAATGTTGGGGGGGTGCAGTACATAACCCCAGGAGTGAAGCCAATGCATGTAATGGTCCCAACAGCACCAACATTTGTTCAAAAGAATGTACAAAATAATATGATAGTGACAAGTAGTATCCCAGGGACACAAAAAGTAGTAGCGCCTCCTTTGTCCACAAACCAGTTTAATCAAATGACAAGTAGTACGTTTACCCCTGGAACTACAGTTGTACAGAATTCTCAGATTATTTATAGAGAGATGGTTCATAATATTGATGGTAAGCAGTTTATTTCATGTGTGCCTTCAGTTCTAAGCCGTGAAAATGTAACAAATGTTTCTCAAGGTACTTCTATGTATCAAAATGTAATGGTTCTAGATCAACTAGGAAATGCATCTTGTATGTACACCACACCTCAATCAATTGTGCCCAAACCAAGTACCTCCTCTATATACAGTGACAATATGTCACATATACCAAGTAGCACAAGTGCTCATATTGATAAGACACTGCCTAATGCTCATGATTGTAATAAGACATTGATAATAGAAGTGGGCCCCATAGTGCCCCCATCCACTGAAGCTGCCGTAGCAAGCACTAGTTCTATGACACTACAAACAGATATTAATACTGCTAAAGCAGATAAATCTGTTAATAGAGATAAAATGGATAAAAATGAAATACCTGGCTCTAGCAAAGGACTGAAAATTCTCAGTAATATCAAAGTAGAGGTCCCTGTTCAACATAATAAAAACATGCTGAATACTGTTATGGATTTGACTGGTCCAAATGACACAGAATATTTGGAAAGATCCCTCACTCCAGAAAAAATCCTCCCCGATTTGGAAGACAACAATGATAATATAGATAACAATCAAATTTTGTCAGATGAATGTACACAGCCATCAATATCAAGTAGTGACAGTATAGTCTCACACACATTCTCAGTTATAAAAAATGTGGGAAATCCTCCTTCATATAGAGATTCTAAAGCAAGTGTGATGGATAGCAAAATTGAAGCTGAGTTTTCAGACAGTTGTCCTGTCCCTGATTTAATTTGTAATGAGAAACCATCTATATCACCCTGCAGTGAGCTGTCAGAAAATGGAGATAATTCTATTGATCATACCTCAGTTACACCTAAGCCTCATAGTAGTCACCAAACAAATGTAGATACTTTTGAAAAGACAACTACCTATCAGAAACCTTATAGAAATAATGCATTGAGACTAAATAACATATTTGTTAAGAAACATAAAAAAATCTTACAAATAAAAAATGCTAAGACCTTTCCTACTAATGATAGCTCCATACAGGGTGAAACCGAACCTATAGCTTCATCATCATGTAGTAGATCTCCAGAAAATTATTCAATAAATAAAATTCATCACATAGAAAATAATGAAATTCAAGAAAAATTAAGTACACTCAAAACAATATCAGTTGAAAAAATCATAATTGAAAATGAAGATGATCATCATGGTTTTGATGCTGATACTGAAGAGCAATCAATGGATATTGAACCTGTGGCACAGTCTAGCACAAACCCGCAAGATCAGTTAACTACAAGTATTGATGTAGTTCAGGTGAAAGAAGAAGCTAACACTAGCAATGAGGATACATTTAGTAATGAAAATAGTCTATCTAATCGAGGCACTATCACTCCAATAGAAACTTTGCGCCCAATTAATGTTATCACATATGGTAACATGGCACCTGGGGATTTTGATGATGAATCCAACCATAGAGAATTGTTGGAACTTGAAGCAGCTTCCAAAAACAAACAATTTGTCAGTATGATGAATGACAATTACTTTGGAGATAACATATATTCAGATTATTTTACTCCAGACAGGGAATCGTTAGATTCAGAGAGAGTGTCAGGCTTTCCAAAGGAAGGTCCAAAAGACGGTATGTACATATGGGGAGAGCCATCGCATAAAGAGAGCGAATTCGTTTTGCCAAATTTCATACACGAGAGTTATAAGATAGCTGATAGTAATGGGATTGATTATTCAGATATGGGTAATAGGACGGGGCAGATAGAAGGCGATCGCGACAGCAAGACTGATGTGCTCAGCGAAGGGCCAAGTGAACCGCCCCTGAATATTTGCGCCGATGAGCGCATGCCTCCCCGCGGCGAGCTCAGCGGCCAGGAGAGCAACGGCGACATGGAATCTCCTTGGAGCGGGGTGAGATGTAACCGAAACAGAGCCAAAACATCTTTCTACTATAAAACAATTATAGGAGTATCTTACATAGCATAAATTTTACTGTTGAAAGCAGAAAGATGTTTTGGCTACAGAGTCAGAATGTGCCGATATTTGTTTAAACATGTCCTATGTACATTCCAAGTAGTTGGATGTCTGGTTCTTTAGATGGTAATTGGGATAGTACCTTGATAATGGGAAGAGTCTATAAATTGGGTATCACCTAAAAGTGCTATTAAGACTGCTAAATTCTTTGACTGTACTTAAAGTTTAAGAGCCTGCGCTGGGTTAAGTGGGAGGATGAACCGGGCGTCTGCTCCGCGTGCTGCGGCGCTGCTCTATGACATCACATAAACAAACACGAGCAGAGAATGCTATGCGGACCAGGCAGCGGACGGGACCCGAACTCGCATCCTTCGCTATCCGGGCGAATACACTGACCATTATGCTACCACGGCCCTATTAGCCGCGTCGAAATTTTCCTAGCCTTAAGCTGCAAGGCAGCGCCATCTTCTCATCTTTTTTTCTAGTAAACTTTTCTTTAGATTTGAACATCTAGCAGTTAAATGCTTAAAAAATAAATAAAATCATTGAGAATGCTATTTTCGTGCTCCCACTTCACGCATCGCAGGCTCTAAAGGTTCTCACTAAAGCTATGAGTCCCTTCGCACTTATACATATTGTGCTGTAATGGTGATGTATTATAGAGTCAGACATTCATATTGGACCTTATGCTTAAAATCATGGTGCCATACATGCCATCATGCAGTGCTGCCATCTGCTGTGCATCATGTGAAAGTTGTTGCTCTTTTTAATGAATTGCTTATTTTGCGATGATGTTTTTTTTACTCAATTAAACACTAATTTTAGATATACCCTGACATACCACCTGCTGAGCCCTATGACTTGATAGCACGGGAAAGTTGGGTGTCCGATGGCTCTGAGATGGATCCAAATGAAAAAAGAGATAATTTGTAAGTTTTCATAATTTATTAAAATTGTACTTATTTATTTAATGATGATTACCATGAACACACTTGTCAAGCTTTAGTCCAGTTATCTATTATATTTGGTGCTGGCAATTTAAATTGACAATATTGATTGTATAAGTTTTGTGTAAAATACTTTTGGTGATAATAATTATGACCTTTTTAGGGAAGAGGAAATCTATCCGAAAGTGCGGGGTAGTGTGTGCGCAGAATGCGGTGCTAAATTTGCATCGGCAAAAGAGCTTCGGGCGCACAGAGCGAGTACACACGCACTATCGGAATCCGTGGACAAGACATACAGTCGCATGCTTACTGCGCGGGCCATTAAGAAAGAAGAGAAACCCGACGAAACAGTACTGCAAGGTAAACAATTGGATACCCTAACTAATAGTATATATGCGAAAGTGAATTTGTTTATTTGTGATGCTTTTTCGCAAAAACTATGGAACGGAGTTGAATGAAATTTGGTACTCATATAGTATATGACCTTGATTGAGACAGGATACTTTTTTCCCTGTAAAATGATTCCTGAGGGATTTTCAAAAACCTAAAGTTAATGCGGACGAAGTAGCGGGCGGCTGCTAGTATATTTATAAATTCATTTCATCATCCCATGCTACACTGTATTTGAGTAACAGGATCATTTGACGTCCTTTAAGGAAACAGCATTTTATTCTAATCAGATTTAAATATATATTTTTGGTTTATCCAGCTCAAAGGATAAACGTTCGTATTGGTATTTATCTTACATAAGTTATTGAGGCACAAGCAGTTTTATGATTATGTATTTATGTAATTAATAAAAACTATAATTGATATATTTTCTTCTTTTGAATGTTGATTGTAGTTTATCTACAATGAGAAGAGGTTGCGCTGCTTTGTAACAATAGCTTATGAAATACTAGAAGAAATTCGATACGTAAGTCCCCTTTCGGTAACAAATCGTACGCGTTACCGTCTCTGTGAATTATTGTACAGTCAGCACATATTTTCCTGGATAGCAAAGAATGCTGGTTCAATTTCAGACAAGTTTTTTTTACCAGTATAAATTATCTTTACCTAAATTTTTGACGATATTCGTGACCGTATATACGCCGGATTTCATGGCGTCGCCTTCTCAGAGGTCCCGGGTTCAAATCCCGGTAGGGGCCAAATGTTAGAATGATGAATACGAGTATTTGTACCTTAGACATTGATGTATGTATATATATCTAGATAAAATAAACTTATATTATGTATGTATCACTATAATTATGTATTCTATCCGTTACCCTGGCATCCCATAACACAAGCCTTACAGTGGTTACTTTCGGGCTAGGCTGATAGTTTTGAGTATGTGAAATATTTTTATTTTATTTTTTTATTCATTTACAAATAATTCTGTTTAAAAAGCGGCTGCAAGCATGATACCCATAGACTCCAAGGAGTCAATAGCTACGACCATGCTGCAAGTGTACGACGCAATGGCGGAGGCCAAGCCGAAGCTGGAGGGGCTCATCAAACAAGAACCGAAGCAGAGGAGGCGGCGAGACTACGTCTGCCCCACCTGCAAGGTATGAACCCCCCTTTTTTTTCATATAAAAGGGTGGCAACACAGTCGTAGCTAGGGGAGACTAACGACCGACGGACTTGTATCCATGGTCATGAATAAATTAAAAAAAAAATAGGGGAGACTGGAGTTTTTGGCGGGATTTCATGGAGTGCGGTTGGCGTCTTATTTTAATTATTCTTGAATTCGTTCATAGTGGATATTGTGAAATAAAAGCGGTGTGATTTTGTGTTATAACCATCTGCGCAACTGAAGCATTAATGGAATCTTTAAAATATACGCTGTTCCGGTCAAGTGGACGTGAGAACTCTATTGTAGTGTTGACTACCTCACAGAACCTTACCGAAGAAACCAACTCGATACATTACATGCCAAACACTCCAAAAAACATTAGAATGCGTCACACCGACATTCTAATGTAAAAAAAAAATGAATATTAAGACTCGTATTTAAGTATACGACTGAAGAACTTGTATCCATTATAGTTATAATTTTTATTATTTTAAAGCATGTAACTGCTTCATGTTAAAATAAAAATTATAACTATAATTGCTATTTCTTTCAAATGTTTAATACTTGTAAAAGTATTCATTTGACATTGTGGGTTACCTATAATGCGAAGAGATGGCACTGCCTTGCAGCTTAAGAATGGCTAGAAGAATTTCGACGCAGTCCGTGAGGGCCGCGGTAGCACAATTGATCAGTGCATTCGCCCGGATTGCGAAGGGTGCGGGTTCGAGTCCCGTCTGCTGCCTGGTCCGCGTGGAATTTTTTCTAGTTGAATTTTCTTAGATTGTATCCATTATATTCATTCATGGCCATGAATAAATAATAAAAAAAATGGGGGAGACCACTCCACCCATCATAAAATTGGAGTTTTATAATTTCTGCAAATTTTTACAATAAATTTTAGTTCAGCCTACTTATTAACCCCTAGGCGTAGGGTAGCGCGTTCGGCCTGCGATCGTGAAAGTTAAGTGACTTTCACAATGGTCGGTCATTGGATGGGTAACGAAAAAAAATATATTTGTTTATCTGCCTATGTATGTATGTAATGGTGGCGGACCAAACGCGTGATCCGATTTGCCACATTTTAACTCTGAGATGGAATTTGATATATTATCGCGTTAACGGGATGCTTCTTCCACACCTGCACGACAAAACTTCTACTAATTATTGACTAATGATGTGCTGGTACGCTCCTTCATCTGGACATACAAAGGACATGGTAAAATTTAGTATGTGCGCCTGCCCTAGCAATGTATAAATATTGTACTTAGTAAGATATAATGCAGAATGGCTGAATATTTATAATTTCTATGAAAAAGGGCTCAGGAACTTATGATAAAGTCACAATTTTTAAAATTATGAGATCTCCTACGTCATTACCTTGCTACATTTGATAAACGATGTTGCCAATTATTTACAGAGTCATAAATTTCGCATTTTCTTAGAATATTTCTTCACATTTATCTGATTAACACTTCTCAAAAAGCATTTTTAAAAGCAAAAATAAAATATACAATTAATTTGTTGTTGTCGGCCTGACATGAAATCTGTGTAGTTTTATTTTGTTCATTTGCAAAAATCAAAGCATTAATTATCATACAGCCTTCTCTGAAGCCTGATCAGATAAAATCTATTATTTTAGGCTTTCAGTGATTTGTAATAATAAAAATAAGGGCCAAATATGCCATAGTTTTTGGGAGTTTTAAATTAATATTGTTTATTTCGATATACTGACAAAAATATGTTTTAGTATAAATTTATTGTTTATTTATTTTAGTAAAACGGAACATTTTCCTTTTGAAACAGATATGAAGTCAATTTTTATACTTTTAAATATTTGATTATTACACGAAAGTTGTATGAGAATTATAAACACGTAATAATTAATAAAAAAATATTATAAAATTATGGGTTAGTGCAAAATAATTATACACGTTAAGGGCAATTTCTTAGCCATGTCCTTTAACGTCCCCCAAAACCCCTTTAAGGTGTATCCGGAACCAACGGTTTAGCTAGCGCCTATTATCACGCAGCTCGATACTTCGTTACAAATGTTTGTACAATAATGTGGACGTAGTATTAGTCGGTGGAGCCTTGTTTTTTGCGGCGAGTCTTGCTTCAAGCTTTTCTCAGCTAATAAAAATCGGTGTAGGCTTCATGTAATGGGCAGAAAAGGGGCATCCTTTTCTGTCTCAGCTATCTCTAACGGAATATATGAAAATAAAAAGCAAACAGCATAAGTAAGATTATTTGTGTCTTCTCGTGATTAGCCTTTATCCTCCATAGGGCCGTCTTTAACCTATGACTTTGTTGTGGATTATGACTTGAAATGGAGCGAGTCATACTGATGATTTTTCTTAAAAATGTGTATGTGCTTAGTATACCATTATATATTTAGATATTATTTAGATTTATCTAAACATGCTGAAGTTCGAAAGCCTAATTTTTGGGCGAGAGTAGAATAGCTCTGCTTATGTAAAGCTAGTAAGTTAGTATTGTAGTCAGTAATTTAGGTTCGATTTCATCGCATTATATAAGTTTTTTGGTAATCAATATTGGTTATCGTTTGGTGATCTGACTGGAACTAGGGACTTTGTATTTGATCTGACGGAGGCCCCTATCGATTGCGGGGCCCTGAGCACTTGCCCAAAGTGCCCACTGGGAAAGACGGGTCTGATCTTCCACCTTTATTTATTGCCACGGGGCGGGGGATTGGGTCAAGGTCCAGCGTCTATAGCGTATATCAAGGTAATATAGCAAGGTAAGCGTCTATAGAATACGTGGGCGCCACCTCTAACATAAAATTAGTTATTTATAATAATGGCTCGCATTTCCAAATGGCGCCAAGTGCGGTTGGTGAAAATTACAACATCACGTATTAAAGATAAAGGTATAGATTAAAAGTGCGTCTAAGGGGGTTCGTTACACCGTAAAAAATACTAGGGCGCCATGCATGGGAGCGTGCGGTAAAATGTTTTATCGCACGCTCCGTTGTATGGCCCCTAATTTTGAACATATGAATAATGTATACAACCTTCGTAAATGCATCTTTTGAGCAGATGTTTTGAAAAAATATTAATTCGTGACTACTTTTTCTTCGTGATTTTATATTAGAGTTTGATCAAGCGTTCCGTTTCACAGGTTGATCAGCTGACCGACGCTGCGTTTCACGCCCATCTCAAAATCCACCCGCTCGAGTGCCTCACTTGCGGCAAGTGTTTCTTCCGGAGGGCGAACCTGGCACTACACATCAAGACCCACTTAGGCATCAAAAACTTCAAGTGAGTGTTAATATAATACAAACACACACACACACACACGTACGCAAGTACGCACGTACGCACGCACGCAGGCACGCACGCACGCACGCACGCACACACACACAAACAATCTGGGTTTAGCGGTCATGTCACTTTATAAATACACTTTAACTTTCTTTTTTAATGGCTCAACTAGGAATTCTGCCAATTTCACGTAGATAGCCACTTAACCGCGTCGTTGTACACGCCTTTTACAACAGCTGTAATAGTCCAAGATCCGAACCTACATTGACCTTCACCGAGCTGATAATAGAATGAAACATATTTTATCATGAATTTAGTATATTAGACAATATATTAAAAATGGGTTGCCTTAACAAATCCAGGACAGACTATTTTTAATTAATTTAAAAACAATATACATATATGTTTAATTAAATGTTGCAACATCAAGATCCAAGTCCTGACTTAAAGTATAAAACATAGAATATGCAGCCGACGGCATCGACGTACCTGTTTATACCTGGCAACTCAGTAGTTCGGCCAGGAAAATAATAGACAACCCAACGGCTGCACATTTTATACGTTTTATACTGCAATTCAGGACAAAATTTTCTTATTAACTTGATGTGAAGGTCGATGTAGGCTCGGATCTTAGACTATAAGCCAACCACTCAAGCGCAATCACGTCACGTCTAGGTTAGGTTCGTAAAAATGACGACTCAGTGCGAACGCGATGTCATCGCCCGAGTTTATAAATAAATATATAAAACTGTGCGGTGGCCTTGGGGTTTATCGACTGAATTTTATAAAGATTTACCCGAAAGATTCTAACCAATAAATAACAAGAAGTAAATCCGGATGCTAGGTATGTCGCCTACTCAGAGGTTCGAATCCCGGCGGGGTAAATTTTTTGCGTGATTAATACGAGCATTTGTGCCTGGGTCATGGACGTTTATATGTATTTCTAAATACAAATATACTTTTATATGTATCAGTATATGTATTGTATTCGTTACCATAGTATCCCATAACACAAGCCAGGGGGTCTATTGCTTAAACTTAGGCAGTCGACCCGCACAGCTTAGTTTGGGGCTTATTGGTATTAGGGTTTTAGAAATATTTATTTATTTATATAAACTATTAATTTTATTTTCGTATTTTCCGTATAATCTCTGATAAAATATCGTTATACATATTTTTGTTTTGGATCGCAGATGTGATGTTTGCGAGAAACGGTTCATCACGAAGCAAAAGCTAATGGAGCATCACAACATTCACACGGGACGAGCGCCCGTCAAATGCACCGTCTGCGACGACACCTTCCGACGATACTCCAATATGTTGCAACACCGGTGAGTGTGGCTTATATCCGACAGAAGTGATGCAGCATCACGACATCACACGGGGTGACAACCGTCAAGTGCACCGTCTGCGACGACACCTTCCGACGATACTCCAATGTGTTGCAACACCGGTGAGTGTGGCTTATATCCGACAGAAGTGATGCAGCATCACGACATCACACGGGGCGACAACCGTCAAGTGCACCGTCTGCGACGACACCTTCCGACGATACTCCAATGTGTTGCAGCATCGGTGAGTGTGGCTTATATCCGACAGAAGTGATGCAGCATCACTCCATCACACGGGGCGACAACCGTCAAGTGCACCGTCTGCGACGACACCTTCCGACGATACTCCAATATGTTGCAACACCGGTGAGTGTGGCTTATATCCGACAGAAGTGATGCAGCATCACTCCATCACACGGGGCGACAACCGTCAAGTGCACCGTCTGCGACGACACCTTCCGACGATACTCCAATGTGTTGCAACACCGGTGAGTGTGGCTTATATCCGACAGAAGTGATGCAGCATCACTCCATCACACGGGGCGACAACCGTCAAGTGCACCGTCTGCGACGACACCTTCCGACGATACTCCAATGTGTTGCAACACCGGTGAGTGTGGCTTATATCCGACAGAAGTGATGCAGCATCACGACATCACACGGGGCGACAACCGTCAAGTGCACCGTCTGCGACGACACCTTCCGACGATACTCCAATGTGTTGCAGCATCGGTGAGTGTGGCTTATATCCGATAGAAGTGATGCAGCATCACGACATCACACGGGGCGACAACCGTCAAGTGCACCGTCTGCGTCGACACCTTCCGACGATACTCCAATGTGTTGCAACACCGGTGAGTGTGGCTTATATCCGACAGAAGTGATGCAGCATCACGACATCACACGGGGCGACAACCGTCAAGTGCACCGTCTGCGACGACACCTTCCGACGATACTCCAATGTGTTGCAGCATCGGTGAGTGTGGCTTATATCCGATAGAAGCAGAAGTTGATGGAGAATCACAACACGAGATTTACACAAGAATAGGGATGATGGCGGGGTACAGTAAAGGAAATTCTATTTAGTCCGTCACTTACATGATCAAAAAATAATGGACACGTATTTTTTCTTTGGGCAATCAACCAATAAATGACAAAGTTATAGCGCGTCAAAGTTTGGGAGTAGGGGCTCGTGACGTCACCTTTGAGTGAATTTTCACTTATAAGTGTACTCAAACGTGACGTCATGCGACTTTTCAAATCAATATATCTCTGCAATGTTTATATCCTGTGAAAAAAGAAAAATATACGTGTCCAATACTTTTTGATAATCTACCTGATAAACGAAGAAAAAAAAATTAGCCATCATCCCTATTCCGACGTTTAGGATTTACAGACTTCGAAGACTGACAATTCGAGTAATTACTAGCAACGAATTAGAAATCTTATTGAAGCTTATTAGCTTCACAGATTGTAATTACTGATATAATCTGTGTACTAATGAACTTTTTTGTCCGCCGAAATAGATCGCTTACAACAACCGCATAGAGTAACGCACACGAGGTATTAAAATACCGTAAACAAAAAGTCCGTACAACTGAGGACATTGAGAGTCCGAACAGGACAAAAGTACGCGAGAGTCTCCCAATAAGAAGAACTCATGTGACAGGGCGTAGCAACGCATACAGCTAACTTAAATCCGCGCTGCGCGCTCGTTCCGATTTAAAAATATGGACCCAGTATTCTGTTTGAAACGTCTTTGTTGTGGTTGGTATGCCTTTGGATTCCAGAGATACGCCTTTTTCTACCATTACTCACTGGAATATGCCGTCGACAAATTTTCTACCACACACCTGATGTTGTGGTTGCTTCAGTAATGATGGGTCTTCTATTTAATTAAATAAAACATTGCTTTGACTTCACACGCAGTTTATTCGCTAGCCACGTTGGTGCCAGAATGAGAGGGAACATCGCGTTCCGATTCACCTACGTGACAGTCTTCTCTTTTTATTAAACTTTATGTTAATTACAACACAACGTAATCAAAAAAAGTTATTTTGAGTTGAGTCCGCGACAAGTCCCCGATGGAGATTTTTCTTCAAGATTCCAGGGACTTTTGTTCTCAGCGGACATAAGTGCTCCGTCTACGCAGGTCATAAATCTCTAATATAAACATGGTTCTAAACTCATACCACTAAACTTCATTACTAACGCGACACACACGGAGTGACAACAAAATACTTTACCGAATCAAATTTCTGCAAATGAATTCGGCTCCCCATTCATTGGGTAATATAATGTTGTTATTGTTGCTTGGAACTACTTTAGCACAGTTCGTTTAGGCTTTTGAGTATGCAAAATAATGTAGCAATTGATGGCATCTATATTTAATATGAATATTAGCAGCTATTTTACTATTCAGAAAAAGCAAAGAATGAATAACTTTTCTAAATAAATATATAAATGATTTTTTTATTTGTTCTATGATCACGTGACCAAAATCGCTTGGGATTGGCGTAGACTAAAATGACGTCACACGCTAGCAAACTTCCGGTCAGAGTGACATTACATAGTATCGTTTGACATTTTAATGATAGTCGTGTGACGTCACACACCAGTTAAATGCCATAATGTCCAAAGAAACGTTTTCGTGGCAACTTGAAAATTTAATTTTTGATTTCGTTTGAATTTACTGAAGTACTCAACAGAATGATGAATATCCACGAACATCACTCGAGATCATTTTCTTAAACTTGTTAAATACCTTATTTCTTTCTTTTACCCGTTCGAAAAGTGTTTTCTTAAATTATTGATTGTAAAAACGAAGAAATAAACAATTGTCAATTTCTCTTTGTCACACAGGGATCGCCACCATTTCCAGAAGAAGCCTAAAGTGCGGGACTACGTATGCCAATGCGGGGCCGTTTTCCAGTCCAAGGCTAAGCTTCAATGGCACCGCGAGACCCACGACCCCAGACCGAAGGCCTGCCTCTACTGCAGCGACAAGTTTGTGCACGCGGCTTCGCTCACCCGCCACGTCAGGAGAACGCACAATGTCTACTATTTATCGGAGAAACAGAAGGGCAAAACAGAGAATGTGCCCTGTCCAGTTTGTAAACAGGTGCGTCGTGTCTTTTATCCTCCTAATTTTATAAATGAGATTGTTTGTATGTATCTAACTCAATCACGCAAAAACTACTGTTTAGGACCTGCCGGCCTATTTTATTAACATTTTTGTCGTCTACAGTGTACAACTAAAGAGAAAATTGGATATCCATCGATGCTTTTCGGAACAAGTATCTTTCTTAGTGGCGTTATAATAAAACTACTGCTTTTCGCTGCTGTGGATCACGAAGTAACTCGGTGATTATCACCACGCATCTGACAAATGTAGTTGGCGAATAGGCCTACTGGAGCGAGGCCCAATCTCCCTATTCCATCCATAGGGAAGGCCTGTGCCCAAGCAGTGGGGAGATTAATAGGCTGATGATAAAAAGTATCCTATATACTTAATCAGCCTATTAATCTCATCTTATGGGATACTTTTCATCATCAGCCTATTAATCTCCCCACTGCTTGGGCACAGGGCTTCCCTTTGGATGTACTAGGGAGATTGGGCCATGACCCACCACGCGGGCCCGGTGCGGATTATTGAGTGCTAACGACTGCAGATGCAGCCGGGACCAACGGCTAAACGTGCCTTCCGAAGCACGGAGGAACTCGAGATAGAAGATTTTGGTCACCCATCCAATGACCGACCACTGCGAAAGTTGCTTAAGTTCAACGATCGCTGTCGAACGCGCTAACTAAACCACTACCTTTTCTATCGTGCAGATATATCTCCGGACAAATCTACGAGCTCATCTCGCGACTCACACGGGCGCGCGTGCTCACGTGTGCGTAATATGCAGTAAAGCATTCACCACCAAATGGAACCTGAAGCTTCACCGTTGGACTCATCTCGCGCGCTCCGCTAAACCATACAAATGTGCCCTCTGCAAGGTAAGTCTATCGTCTATTTTGCATCATTAATGTCCCCACCGCTGGGGCACAAGCAACGATGTTAAATACCATAGATACACCACATGCGCTCAAAAAGTGTCCCAATCAAGAAGTGCTTGAACACCACTCGAGCACTTCTTGGTTCACAGTCACGCGCGGACCGTTGAAAAGTCAAGTCAGAGCTCCGTGAAAAAATGCGAAATGAATACTTATATTACGTAAAATTTCAGTACCTTTCAATTTTGGACAGGTACCTAGTCAATGTTTGTTAATGTAACGCATTTGAAGCAAATTATGTACTAATACTTACTATAAACTGATTTAAAAGAAAATATTTGTGCTATTCAAATGCATGGTTGGTAATATAGTCGTCTCTTTTCCTCGCGGTCCGTACCTGCTACATTGCTAACAGCGCATTCAGAATTGCGCGTAGAGTCAAAGAAATAAGGTCTATATACTTCCGCATATAGCAATAAGTTCTAAAATTTTTCATTTTAAATGTAAGAAAGATGATGACATTATTTTATTATTTTAAATAAATTTTTTTTTGCTACATTGCTAACAGCGCATTCAGAATTGCGCGTAGAGTCAAAGAAATAAGGTCTATATACTTCCGCATATAGCAATAAGTTCTAAAATTTTTCATTTTCAATGTAAGGAAGATCATGAAATTAAAATTTTGTTCCGGAAAATTGTGCTTCCAACAGCTTATGTTATTATTTCAAATTATTTACTAACTAGTACCTGCTCACTTAATAAAACAGGATTTCCTTACTATAAGTACGTGAAAAAATAAATAAGACGATACTTATACAAGACCTAGCACCGTTTCTTTTTTGACGACCTCCGCGGTCGAGTGGTTTGTACGCCGGGTTTCATGGTGTCGCCGACTCGAGAGGTCCCGGGTTCGAATCCCGGTGGGGGCAGATGTTTGTGTGATGAATACGAGCATTTGTACTCCAGTCATGGATGTTTAATATGTATTACTATATAAATATACTTATATATGTACAGTATATGTATTCTATCCGTTACCCTAGTATCCCATAACACAAGCCTTACTGTGCTTACTTTAGGGCTAGGCTAATTGGTGTGTGTTGGATTTTTTTTATTTTTTTTTTATTGTATTTTGTGTTCAATTATTAAAATAAAACAAATTTCGTGATTTTTCTTTCATTTAAAATGCTATGATATTTGAGAAAACATAATTCTCATGATTTACCCTTTCGACGGTTATCATAAAATACATGTGTTTTTTTACTTCACATTTCACGAGTTTGCTACCCGGAATTGGCAGGCGATTTTTTAAAAACTGTGAATGCCGTTCTACTTATTATTAAAAATAAAACCATGTCTTCTTTCAGTAAAATATCCCATCTTCAATATTTAATATACTTTTCCTCCGTGTGACAAACCTGATGGACGTTCTGTATACAGGGTTAATTTTAAAACACCTACAACCTCTTAACGGGTGATTCTACCCATCAACATGACCAACTTTTATTATGGGACCAACTCTAAAATCGCGAAAAAAAATATCAGCTGTTTCCTACATTTCGGTCGATTAGCTGATGGACTTTTGTATGAAACAGCAGATTTTCTTTTCGCGATTTCAGCGTTGGTCCCATAATAAAAGTTGTTCCCGTTGATGGGTAGAATAAGAAAACACCCCCTAAGAGGTTGTTGGTGTTTTAAAATTAATCCTGTATAGCATGAGAATCTTTCACGGAACAAAGCATATATAGCCTAGTCAGGTCATAAATTCTGTCACATGTTTAATATAAAATAATTAAAACAATTTTATTCATTATTTAACCATTTATATACCAAAATGAACTTAACAAAACATAGATTCTTATGACAATAAAGTTTATTCAAAATGACCTTCGTGATTTTGAATACAGGCCTTACGACTGCGCGAGCACGAACGAGGTCCATGTCAATATCAGTGGCTGCCTTAATCAAGGATGGCTTGAGTGACTCCAAATTGGGATGAGACTTTGAGCACGCCTTTTCCTCCAAGTGTTGCCATATCTTGTAATCTAACGGACTCAAATCTGGACAGGAGGAGGCCAGTCTTCGTGCTGGATGAAGTCGATTTCACTCTCGATTTCAGTCTTGTGTGCTCTTCGCTCTATGAGCTGGCGCCGAATCTTGTTGAACTACCCAGTGACTGTTATTGAACATGGTTTGAGAAACAGGTTCCACAAAGTTCGTCAGGACGTATTTTGATACACAACTGCATTCGTTTTTACACCTTTCTCACAAAAATGTACCTCTGTTAAGCCCCAATAAGAAACTCCCGACCATACCATGAGCGACGATGGAAAATGACCTCGTTGGACACGCGGAATACGGTTGCTCGCTTTTTCACTACCCTGTGCGTATACCTTATCATTGTGTTTGTTGTAGCTCTCTTCTACGGTAAAAATTTTATCATCCAAAAAAATTATTTCCCGATATTTTTTTCCCGCGTACCGCTTCAACAAAGCGCGGCATCTCTTCAGTTTCAGGTCCATTAGACGAGCATTCAAACGATGTCATGTTTTTCTTCAATATGCCCGAAGCCCTAAGTCTTCATTTAACACCCTTTTCACCGTGGCTCTGCTTAACCCCATCTGAAGGGCTAACAGTTTCTGCTTACGTTTGGGATTTCTTTGAATTCGCGCCTTCACAGCTTTTATCACTGCTGGAGTCCTAACAGACCGAGGGCAACCACTTCTTGACCTGTCATCTACAATAGAGTCTTCATAGTATCGTTTGATGGAACGATAAACGAATCTTTTGGTTATATTCAAAATTTTCAGTATGTCGAATATTTGAATTGGCTCGTAACCGCAACGATACAACGCAATAACTGCAACACTTTAGGCGTCTTTCAGCGTCCACTCCATATTTAAAAATGAGTAAAATTCTAAAAAGTATACATTTTTATTTTCATGAATAATTTGAAATTCGAATTCAATAAACTTTTTTGTGGCCAGCATTCTAAAAGAAAAGTTTTTACTATGTGACAATACTTATGACCTGACTGTGTATTATTATATGGGTGTTCAGAAAATAAGTTGTGTATGCAGATCGGTTCGAATTCCTGAATTCTATCGAAAACTCTATTGAAGTTGCAACATAACGCGTTCAATTTCGTACTATAGCGCTATGAAATCAACAAGTTGCACCAAAACGTAGCAATTTAATACGCTAAAGAAGATTGTTCCCTCTGAATTTAAGTTTTTACAATGATCTCACCAAAACGCTACATTAATAAATTAGTTGCACCGAAACATAACATTTTTTTTATAAATAATTCTCATGACTATAAAAGTATAAATATTCACATGATGATTGACCCAAATTAATCTATGCATTAATAAGTTTTATTTCACATAGTGACTATAGAGATTGCTTTAAGCATTGATGACTAATTCATTCGTTACTTTTGTGTTTACCGCACATTAAGAAAATATACCAACAAAATAGAAATAGAATCTCTCTTTAGTGGGTGCTAACGACTGCATTGTGAAGGCCTATCAAAAGTATTTATTAATCTGGAACAACGGAACCAAAGCGCGTTTCAGGAGACTACAGCGCCATCTCTTGACCATTGGTGTAGTAGAACCAAAAACCACATCTTTATTTTTTGTAATAAAGTAACAGTTATAGGTATTCATATTTATAATATCAAAAGTATTTATTAATCTGGAACAACGGACCCAAAGCGCGATTCAGGAGACTACAGCGCCATCTCTTGACCACTGGTGTAGTAGAACCAAAAACCACATCTTTATTTTTTGTAATAAAGTAACAGTTATAGGTATTCATATTTATAATATTTATCCACATGTTTCTAGTTTGTATATTCGGAATACGTGTTTGAGTTTCATACAAGTGCAAATCACATATGTTCTAATAAATTATATTCAGTAGCGATTTTAATTGAATATTTTGATTATTTATTTATTTTTTCAAATTAATACTGAACTTTATTGACTTCGTCCTTTTCCAGACTTTTTATTAATTTATTGTAATTAATTATTTTTCATGCAATTAAAAACTAATTTTAAACAATGCCAAAGAAGGATAACTTCTCACGCGCCTACATAAGTACACGCACCCATTTTTTTTATAATGTGGCACTAAAACACACAAACGACCCTAAATTTTCATCCTTGTACTATCAGCCCCTATTTTTATGGCGGTACGAAGTTCGCTGGGTCAGCTAGTATTATATACGCTTATATTTAGGGCGCGTTCATCCGGCACGCGGAGTACGTGGCGCACATGAACGCGCACCGCGCCGTGCGTCCGTACACGTGCAACTACTGCGGCTGCAAGTTCATCCGCAAGTACAACTGCCAGCGGCACGTGCGCGAACACGAGAACGACAAGAAGTATGTGTGCAAGGTACGTGCACGAACGACTAGCCTGATTTTGAAAGGCCTCGATCAGCCCATATCATCATCATCATCCGTCTATTAATGTCCCCACTGCGGGGGCACAGGCCTTCCCTGTGGATGGAATTGGACGAGGTTGAGCCATAACCCACCACGCAGGTCCAGTGCAGATTGGTGGGTGCTAACGACTGCAGATGCAGCCGGGATCAACGGCTTAACGTGCTTTCCGAAGCACGGAGAAGCTCGAGATATTAAATTTTTAGTCACCCATCCAATGACCGACCACTACGAAAGTTGCTTAACTTCAACGATCGAGCTCCTCGTCCAGCCCATAACATAACATATACTAATAATTTATGTCAGTAAGCCTGATTACTTTTTTGAGTGTGAATGCTGTTGGTTCTTGAGTGGAGACCGCGACTCGGTAAACGTAGTGTGGGACGCCCTGTGACAAGATGGGATGATGACATTCGTAGGCTGGCTGGAGTGGGCTGGATGAGAGTGGCAGAAAATCAGGAGCAGTGGCGTGCATTAGGGGAGACCTATGTCCAGCAGTGGATGAGCATTCGTCGTCGATGATGATGATGATGCTGTTGGTCGCAGATGACCTTAACAGCAGCGTCACCGGGTTTGGGGACGGCGAGATCCTAAGGGGACCTCGAGCCGAGAATTCGCAAGTACCTCTAGAGGTATTCCAAGCGAATGGTATCTCCCCGCGGGGGGAGTCCCTCTCCGTCTGGAACCTCTACACCACTTGAACCTGAGTGGGTCGGCTCAACTAGAGGGCGTCTAGGAGACTCGGACCACGGCTCTAGTTAGCCTGTACCTGGTATAGCATATCGTGCGTAGACCGGGTCTTCGCACTCTTATCCTACGGTCTGAATTGTACTTTACGCGAAGTTATGAGTCATCATTTTTGGATTATAAATTAAAGGCTTCGATCAGCCCATATCATCATCATCATCCGTCTATTAATGTCCCCACTGCGGGGGCACAGGCCTTCCCTGTGGATGGAATAGCGAGGTTGAGCCATAACCCACCACGCAGACCCAGTGCAGTTTGGTGGGTGCTAACGATTGCAGGTGCAGCCGGGACCAACGGCTTAACGTGCTTTCCGAAGCACGGAGAAGCTCGAGATATTAAATTTTTAGTCACCCATCCAATGACCGACCACTGCGAAAGTTGCTTAACTACAAAGATCGAGCTCCTCGCCCAGCCCATAACATAACATATACTAATAATTTATATCAGTAAGTTCTACAAAGTTAGGATAACAAAAAATCATTGCAGTTGCGTCTCTACTTTGCTTAGAACAGTTCTAAACGAGCCAACATTGCTCGCTTCGCTAAATGTAACCACCAGAGCGAGTGAATGAGTTCGAACAAAGATGTTCAACCAGACTCGGAACGAATAGTCTTTTTCAGTCATCAATGGAACAAATGTTTGCTCGCTCGGAACTGCTTGGGAACAAGTGCAAATTGGTGGGTGCTAACGATTGCAAATCCTGCCAATGGCTTAACGTATGTTTGTCAAACGAATACTACCATCATAATATAGATTTTATTATCCATTTTTCGCAACTAATACGCATATGTAGCAGAGTGCAGATTCTAATAATCTTAAGTATTAAAACAAAGTGACATGTTATTTTAACATAATGGTTGAGATATATATTTATATATTTTTAAATTATAAAAACATAACTAGAAAAAATTCCACGCGGACCAGGCAGCAGACGGGACTCGAACCCGCCCCCTTCGCTATCCGGGCGAATGCATTGACCAATTATTTTACCGCGGCTATGACGGCCGCGTCGAAATTCTTCTAGCTATTCATATTAGGTGCGGGTTCGAGTCCCGTCTGCTGCCTGGTCCGCGTGGATTTTCTAATAAATTTTAGACAATATTTTTTTTATTAAAATTCTACGTATAAAACAAATCTTTTGATCAGTCCAATATTGTTTCCTTCCACCAGTCCCGGACATAATGCTCACATTGACTTATAAATACTTATCCCCAGGTGCCGGAATGCGGTAAGTCGTTCCACAGAAGCTACTACCTCTCGGAGCATATGAAAGTGCACAGCGGCGCGCGGCCATTCTCATGCAACATATGTGGGAAGACATCGAGTAACAAATCTAATCATAACAAGCATCTCAAAATACACCACGCTAGGGAACCAGTTGCTACGGAGGCGTAGATACGAGTGCCGTGGAATACTAACTACCAAAGTACTTTCAATGAGGGGTTTCTGAAATGACGGGCGCCAGGTGGCAGCATTGAGCCGTAAGATCTAGTCGTCATTGTCTTTAAACTAATTTAGAAAAAAAAATGATTTCTCGATGAATTCGCTCCAATAACTTCGTTAAAATAACCTTAGTGCCATTCTAACTTTATTACGGTTATGAAGTTAGCAGCGAGCGCGGCTATGCGCAGGTTTCAGTCCAGTGACATCATAGAGCAACACGGCCGACGCAGCCAGGAAGGGAGTAGGCATACGCAGCTGTCCACTCTGTCGGGTTGGGCACAAAAATTGGGCATACAAACGATATGTGTGTGTGCAGGATTTGAAGCTATATTGTGTCATTGTTTACAGGGCCGTGCCTGGGTATATGGCCGCCTGCGTGCCAGTCTGTATGGCCGCCCCCAGGATAACATTAAAAAAAACTACTTTAATTTTTAATGTTTATTATTATACACAGGGCATCAAACCGGGAAAAAAATCAGTTTTTGGTTAACCGAAATCGAGAACGAAAAAAAAATATTGGTTTTGTTCCCAAAACCGGTTTCTGAAAAGAAAAACCGGCTAAAAACCGGTTTTATGAGATTTATATGTTTGGATGAAATTTAAGAAAAAAAAATGCACATTTTTTTATTTAAAATTTAAACAAAAATAATAACATGAAAAAAATTATGATATTGGTTTTATAATCACAGACAAAATTATCAAACATAAAGAACAAGGAATAACCCTTAAATCTATACTAACATATTAGGATAACAAAGCTCAGTTGCCAATGGCAGATCTGGGCTGACTTGCAACTTGGGAGGTATACAAAATAGAATTAATTTACTTACTTTAATAATAACATGAAAAAAAGTAATTATGGTATTGGTATTATAATCACAGACAAAATTATCAAACATAAAGAACATAGGAATACGATAATTTAAAATCCTAGGTGTCGCTCAGTGACAATTTAAAATTATTTGATTTTAAAAAATCAAATCTTACGTATTATTTATTGATATTGAAAATAGTAAAGGTTTTTGGTTAATTAACCGGTTTCATAAAATTATTTCGGTTAGGTTACCGGTTAATTAGGGAAATCTTTCAATCTTTCAATTATCGCGATTGAAAGTGAAATTGCTGAATCTTCACGAAGCAATTATTAAATAAAGTACATATTAAAAGTTAATCCTACGGGATTTTTTACTGACAAAATCGTCAATTGCTTCGTGAATATTTAAAGATTCAGCAATTTCACTTTCAATCGCGATAATTGAAAGATTGCTCATACGTTCTTGCGTCATGGAAGTACGTAGGTAATTTTTTATGATTTTCAATTTAGAAAAACTACGTTCTCCAGACGCAACTGATACAGGCATGGTCAATAATAGTTTTAAGCTTGTAGATACATTTGGAAATGAATTTTGTAAATTGTGTTTGTACAAATACTTTAGGAGTTCTTCGGGTTGTTTCCTATCTTTTATAATTATTTTCAATGAAATTAACTCTTCGTATAATTCTGCTCCGTTTATGTCGCACGATTCGCCATCCTTGAATTTATTATGAAAGTCGAAGCAACTTTTTTTTATGTCGTCCTCTCCTATTTCAACAAATTTATATAAAAATCCGAAAGACTGTTCGAAATTGGATAATGTTTCAAATCGGGTAGTAACAGATGAAATGGCTGTATCCAATATTACATAGAAAAAATTAATTTTGAAATTTTCTTTAGCAGTTAACTGAATATCCTCATCTCCTTCATAGTCAAATTGTTTTCGCTTATGGCGTCGACGTAGATTAATTTCAACAGGAAATTCCGGTTGTATTTCAAGTGATTCACATAATTCATCAGCAATTTTCAAATACTTTTCGAAATTTTCATCATTTCTAATACTTTGGAAAAAAACTTATCTGTGTTATACCGAAAACCGTATACAAAAATACATCTTACGACCGAAGTTATAAGGAAAAATATCCGTCACCGACCCCCAGAATCATTTGACACTCGCTGGGAGCATCATATGATGCTAGCGGTCGTTGGCGGTATGTAAGCGCGCGCATCATATGATGCTTACGGCGTTTAGAAGGTGAAAACAAACCGATTGTATTTTTGCCCAGTAAACAACTTGTAACGATTTGGCCGCCTCTTAATTTCGGCCGCCTGCGTGCGGTGCACGCAATGAACGCCCGTCAGGCACGGCCCTGATTGTTTATGTGTGAGTGTCGTATTTACAGTTTTGTTTTATATGCGTGTACGTTAAACTGCGTTTGTGTGCATACCCCCCCCCCCCCGCAAAAATGACAGCATGAATTGAATACTATTTCAGTTTGTCTATAAAGTCGTGACATTAAATGATGGCGCTTCTATTATGCATGTAGCAACCCTATACAGTCTGACCAAACGATTTTGATACTAGCAGTTCATTCAAGTAAAATAAGTAATTAAGACACACTATACAGTCATATTTTGTTTCTATTTTATGTACAGCAGGTACCTATGCTTATAAAAAGTTTTAGTTTTAGTTTTTCAAGCATATTTAATTGAATCAGAATAAAATTATTACAGATAAAATAGTACATTATAGTGTACAAGTGTGTAATGTTGGTGATTACCGCTGAGGCGTCATTGAGACCAAAGCCGTTAGATGAGGGTCTTAAGAGATCCGAGGACGGTAATCATCAACACACACGTGTATCTTTCGACGTTTTTTAACAGACTCGTAAAGAAAATAATACTAAAAATCATTTTATAGTATATAAAAAGTTTATTTAGAGAAACAATTTGTTAATGTGTAGTTAGTAAAATTGGTGATAGGTATCTTCACTAAAAGCATCTGGCCATGGTTCTCTACGTGACCTGGTGGGAAAATAAATAGGTTTTTATTAATGAAAATTTTAAAAATCAAAATTTATACATACGCTATAAGAACAAAGACTACCTTATAAGAAGAGTGAATGTAGCTGTCATATTAATCACTTTCATCATTAGATTCTAAATATGCAATGCCAAGAAACGTGTCGTTGCCACTTTCATCAGCAGCGCTGTCATCACTACAGCTGCTGTCTTTGCTGCTGCTATCATCGCCTAAGCGAATAATCAACTAGTCTGTCTTTTTTTTTCTATATGGCTTCGCAGGGTTTGTGCATTTAGCCAATGTCAAGTGTATAATGTTTACATATTCTATAGCACTCGTGGTCAAATAATTAGTCAAGTCAAAGTAAGTGGCAGTCAAGTCAATCCCCCTTTCCCTATATTTCATTAAATGTGTGGTGATTTACTGGAACCTCTCCGTGGACTTCTTGAGGGAACGTCGAAAGACACTTTCCGCTATTTTGTTTCACTTGCCAACACTTGTGCATGTTTCCGAACACTTAGTGGTTAATAATTCACCATTATTAGACATTAACATCCGCCACAACACAATTTTTAACAAGAAAAGCAAAACTGCTAAAGTGACGCTTCCCGATCCCGCCAAAAAGTTCGTCTATGTCTTGGTACAGGTGACGTCCTCACTCATAGTACTCTTTTTCGAGCTTCTCGACGTGATTGCTACAGTTTTTCCATATTTCAGCTGTGATGCTGCTGAAGGCCTCTTTAGCAAGTTGCTTCACATCACGTGACCCAACATTGTGTGCTGCTACTTTTTGTTTGAGATTGCCCAAACGAGCTCAATAGGATTTAAATCACAGTGATACGGTGGAAGCCGTACCACTGTATGCCCATCATCATCAGCCTATTAATGTCCCCACTGCTGGGGCACAGGCCTTCCCTATAGATGGAATAGGGAGATTGGACCATGACCCACCACGTGGGCCCAGTGCGGATTGGTGGGTGTGTGTATGCCCATGTTATCCCAAAAGTTCATCAATGGCATAGATAGGGCTTAGTTGTTTTTTTTCACTATCCTCAGTAAATTTGACTTTCTGAGTGTAGGATTATAATCAATGTTATTCTCCAATAGCCAGAGTTTTATCTCGTCTACGCGGAATTTAGAGGTGGGCGCTTTATTTGTCATGACGGTGTGGTAGGGCGCATTGTCCATAACTATTATTGATGGCTCGTGAAGATTTGGTATTAGCTTTTCTTTAATCCACTTCGTAAAGTTATGCGCATTCATTTCTGAGTGGTAGTCTTCCAATTTATTTCTGCCAGTGAATATAAGGAGGCAGTTTGGCACAAACCCCTTTTCGCTTCCAGCTTGGACTATGATGAAACGCTTTCATTTGGGTGTCTTTTGTGATACCTTTGATGTTTAAAGATTGCTAACATTTTGTGACCTGTACCCCTAGCACGAACCAATATCAAATTCAAGAAATGTCATTGTCAAATGTGTACTGATTTTTGGTAATAATAATAATAATAAATCTTTATTGTGTATGGAACAAGGTAACATGAAAATACAGGTCTCTCAGTTCTCGTTACGTACTTTGTGCCGCTACTGTTCAAGTTTCCATACAAAATTTGACGTTGACATTTCGGTTTGCAAACTATTCGAAATCGCTAATGGTTCGTGCTAATGGGGTACTGATCGGAAAATATAAGGTTTTTATTAATGAAAATTTTATAAATCAAACATTATACATCTTTATATATATAATTCTTCTGTGAGTGTGTATGTCACTGAACTTCTCTTAAACGACTGGACCGATTTTGATGATTTTTTTTGTGTGTGTTCAAGGGGATCTGAGAATGGTTTAGATTCACAATTTTGTCCGCTGGACAACCCCTATTTTTTAGGGGCGGTACGAAGTTCGCTGGGTCAGCTAGTACACTATAAGAACAAAGACTACCTTATATAAAGAGTGAATGTAGCTCTCGCCGAGTTAAATTATAGCTTTTCTTAATTCTTTTGGCAAATCCCGATTATTTTTTATGATCGCCTAGTATTCTTCCCGTTTTGCAGCAATATACGTTTGTTCGATTAGAGCCCTTCTATTACTTTGGCATTTTTTGTAGCTAAACCCTATTGCTTTTAAAGTTTTACGGAGAATTTCAAGACTACAATCGAAGCCCAGCTCAGTTCTTGCGATCACCTGCAATTTTCTGAGGGTTGGTACCTGAAATGAAGGGTTACGTTGATTGTGTATCTGACTATACTTACTTTTTTGTCTTTTTTGTTTTTTCTGTACGTGAGTGAGTGTTATATAGTAGTGAAAGTGTTATGTTATATTATTATTATCAATAGAATAAATTTGGTATGCTAAACCTTGCATTTTTAGGCATACACCACAAACATGCAAAAGACTGAAGAATGTTACCTTTTTTGCACTGTGTAAAAGAATAGGGTATTTGACAGTATAAAAAGTAAAGTGCAAATTGTTAGCATCTGTGGTAAGAATGAATATTGG